ATTATTCATCATTCTGATTAAATATAATTTTTGTTTTATGGATATAGTGTACGATATGCTGATTTATTCATCCCATTAAAAGTGATTATTCATCCATTGCAAATCTGTTATTCATCATGTTATATGTGCACTGTTGATATTTTGATTTGGATTGGGTGTATACAGATATGAAGATTAGTCATCATGTTAATCATAATTTTTCATCGTCTATTAAGACGTTATTCATTAAATATCTATTCATTGTAGGAATTTGGTCTGGATTAGGTGTATACAAATATGATAGTTATTCATCCTCTACTATGTCGTTATTCATCTAAAGATTGATCTGATATAATTATGTGAATGTATATCATTCATCACGTGAATTTGAATAGTTCATCCTTTGAATATGTATTATTCATTTCATAGATATGTGTATTCATCATGCAAAGATATGTCATTCATCACCAGTAATGTTGTTATTCATCAGTTAATATGTATTTGTACACGATTGTTATTAACTAGATTCGATTTATGTAATTTTAATACTTATTCATCATTTTCAAAATGATTATTCATCTTCAATAGTATTGTTATTGATGATTAACAGAGTTTTGATTGAAGGTGAAATCTCACTTATTATATTGTTCTTTTTGTTTGATCAGCAGCAAAGAAATGTTCATCAAGATGAAGTCGATCGGTTGGGAATTAAATATTTTGCCAGAGTTGCTGAAATCAAACAATCAACATAAATGTGTATCGAACATCGGCAAATCCTTCAAGACCTTATATATTAAAAACAATGACTAGTTTTTTTTGTTCATTTTTTGTCTAGTATAATACATAATTAGAAGTTTGTTAGTTTACTTACTAATATTGAGCCATTGTAATATATACTTTTGTTATCAAAGTTATTCATCCAGTAACATACATTATTCATTCATTAAAATACAATTATTCATCTTATAAAACTATAACTATTCTTCATTGTAATATTGTTATTCATTTAGGATGAGATCATTATTTCATCAGATTTGTATCGTTATTCATCTTTGTGAATATCGTTATTCATTGCAAAATTTAAATTTATTCGTCCATAACGTTGTCACTATAAGAACATCATTAATCATTGATAAATATACCGGTATTCATCCAAACAAATACCGTTATCCATCAAAATTTTTCAAATTTGATACTTAATTCTCCGGATTTCATTGTTAATCAGTTAAAATTTTTTTGCTTCAATTGATTCTCCAGATTCATAAGTCTCGATGATGAACCATATTAAATTTTACCAAAATAATATCATCGTTAAAAAAAATCTCATAAAATAAAATAATATAAAACTAACAGGATAAACAAAAAAAAAATAGTTTGAAATTAAACGCGTACTAAAAAAATGATAAAATTAGAGAATTAAATGCCCAAAAAAGGGGGATAAAATTGGGAGAATTAAATGCCCAAAAAAAAAGAGATAAAATGGCCACTTTCTTTTGCCAAATTTGTGATACACGCACTGACTAGGTATACCTTGCAAGGTATACCTAGTTGCGTGATATTATTGGCCTCAATATCAACTCTTTGATAAAGGCAAATGAGTTTTTCTGGTCATTTGTAATATGCATACTCTCCCATCCATATTGAGAATTGCTTACAATGCGGGCAGCCATACGCGTAAAAAGAAAATGAAATACAGTAGAATGTCGTTAAATTAATAATCGATAAATTAATAATTTCTAACAATTAATAATTTTCTCCGGTCCCAACTTAGAACCAGTACAAAAAGTGATAAAAATCGATAAAATGATAAGATAATAATGTTTCAAAAAATCTCTTATATATTTACAGGTCCCAACAATACCATAAATTAATAAATATCCTAACGACAAAAAATAATACTAATTACTATAAATATTTAGTAAAATACGAACTATTAATAATTGATTTTTAGTCCCTAGAGATGATATGAACTATGTGTGGATTTTTAGTATTTAGAATAGTTTTAATACTTGATTGATTCGGATGTAAAGACAACTGCAAATCAAGTACTTTAGTGACAATTCTTTTTTTCTCATGCAAATTCTTTAAATTAATAATTTATTAATTTATCGATTATTTAATAATTCGCTAAATTAATAAATTTTAGTGGTCCCGACACTATTAATTTATAGAAGTTCTACTGTAAAATAGATCTTACAACAAACCAAATTAAAAGAAACGAAGACGACAAGGGTTGTTGTTACAAAGTTGATGTTCAATCTATAACTTTTTATAGCTTGACAGCAAAGAAATAAATGTTTGCTCCAAAATTTGTAATAAAAGAGTGAATTTTCTTACCAGAGACATTCAGTTGCTAAAAGCCATTCAATTACTCCTAAATTCAACCATAGCCATTCAGTTGTCGAATTCTTCTTTGCTACTAATACTACTTCGTTCACTCGTTACCATTTGTACACCACGTGCTTTTCCACGTGCCCGTTCTCTTGGTTTGCCGTTATCGCTGGAGGAAAGCTCATAATCACGGCATCGAGGATCTGAATGTTGAATTCCTTTGCTTCAGTGATTGCTCCTCACATCTTCAACGTCCGTCAGTGTATCTACAGCATATCCTCTAATTTCTGCACCGGAGATCATTAGACGGTCAAGCTCACCATCCAATTCTTATTCTGTCCCGAGATCAACAAACTTCCGGTTATTTTCGAAATCCTAGGTCCCAATTACGATGAGAAAGTGCTCCCCGGCATCAGTTTGGCAATTCTGACCACCGCGGTGGGACAGTTCAACGCCGACCAGTTATTGACTGACGCACTCACCGATCTTATTCGTGAAAAGGAAATCACTGAAGCAAAAGAAGAGGAAGAAAACTTTTTCCTTCTTGATAGAATAATTTGATATAAGTTGTTGAAATCCTAAAATTTGATCATATTTTCAATAATAAATCACATTTAATAATATTTCAAAACATACTTATCTTACACTTATCTTAACCAATTTTGTTATTGTTTTAAAATTTAAGTTTGTTTCAAGTATTTTCTCAAATAAAAATATCTTGAAAAGAACCCAAACCCTCTTTTTCTCCCTCTTCCTTTGGCGCAATCTCCTTCTTCTTTGCCCCTACTGCCGCCGATTTTCTGGCTTGAAGGCCTACTAAACTTCTTGAACCCCTTCTTCATCATATTATTTCGCATATTGTAGATAATGTGATTAGCATCACATTCAATTTTGTTCTTTATAAAGAAAGCATCTTCAATTAAATGTTGGTTTATCTAATCCTTCAATAAGAGAAAATCGTGAGTTCTGATCTCCTCCAATTTCAAATTGATATTTTTAAATAATACATAATCCGATCCTATGATTCCGTAAATCAATAACGGAAAATATGGAAACATAATCTCCATTTTCTTAGCCCTGATTTCACCGTCGACATATTCATTTTTTGGAAATTTCTTTTCACGGTATCCTTCATGATTCGAGGAGCAGAGCATCGCGAATTAATTCACAAGCGGCCTAAATGAAAAGATTTTCGGGGTAATGTCAGCGGAGCGGGAGACCAAATTTGATTGATAGAGTGCATCAAGAAAAAAGATTCATCGCCTATCTCTGACGATGAAATATGAAAATATATTCAGGGAAGGATCATGAAATTAAATTCATGGAGGGAGTCCGAATTTACAATTGAAAGCGTCGGACATGAAAATATTTTCTAGGCAACACCGTCAGGGCGGGCTAAAGAATTCATGCCGGATTGATAATGTCACTCAAATAAACGAAATTCATCGCCTATTTTGTTTGGGGAAATAGCAAGAGAGGTATTAATTGTAAAGATATTGGTCTTCTTCTTTGAGATGACCGGAATTCGTTGCCGGTAGAAGATTCATCGGAGTAACATTGGTCCAGATATAATGGTCGATGGAATCAAGGGAAGCAATCGTCGGAGGGAAAACTGTTTGGTCACAGGAAGAAATCTGATAAAAATATTTGGTTTTTTTTATAATAGTTTGAATTAAATCAGTAATAGGTGAATAAAGTTAAAGATAAATAGTTAAAATAAAGATTTAAGATGATATTTACCCGAAGTAAAAAATAAAGTTATTATAACATTAACAATTTTACCTTAAAATTTTACAGTCAAACTAATAAATAAGCGACACGTGTCTTGAAAGAAAAATTCTTTTCATATATATATATATATATATATATATATATATATACATATATATATATATGTAAGATTACAAATCATTAGAGAGTTGCATGGATTTTTATTAATTATTAAGAACCATCCATCCACCTCCCCTTTACAAATTTTCTCTAAAAAAGTTAAAAAATTGTACTCTTTTTGTCCCAAAGAAATAGTTCACTTTGTTGTATTGTTTTAGTTCAGCGAATTAAACTATATTGTATTGTTTTAGTTCAACAAAATAATTTTTTCTAAATTATTTTTTCTGGGAGGGAGAGACTAGAGAGTATCATTCCACCAGGATTACGTTGTCAACGTTGATTCATTCCTCTCTAGGATCCGTTTGGACGTTATTAGAAATGGGGTTTCTGATATCCTTCTCCGGCCGGCAGGCACCCTCGGAGAAATCAAGTTCGGTAACTCGGGGTTTTATGATGATTTTGATATGAAATGATGGGAGAGGAAATGTAAAATCACGAGATCGCCAAACCAAAAAGTGCAGCAAGAGCTGCAAGACCGCTCCTTGCTCGTAGTATGTATCTAGAGAAAATATATATGGAAAGCTTTTGGCTCATTTTTTCCCCACATTAAGTATTATAGTCCCAGTTTTTTTACAGGCAGTCTAATGTTGTATCTGATGAATCTGACTTTGCTAGAACAACTCACAACAAATAGCTTTTGTCAGCAAAATTCGTTTAGGACTTTAAGATGAAGTAAATCTTACATCATAGCATTACAAGTTTATGACAACCGCCGAGCTATGTACTAAAATATGATACAAGTATTCAGCTACCACTCGGTTAAAGCTCTTGATGAATTTGATGCAGAAACTATTGAGATGTCATTGTGGAGTTTTAGAATCTGAAACTTCAGTGCCAGACATTCCCAGGGCACTTGGCTCAGGAAGCTTTTCCTGCGAAGCGTTCATGTTGATTCTTATCCTGCAATGAAGAAGCATTCATTTTGAATCAAAGTGTTTATATTCTCAACTTTTTGTGCGACATAAAATCAAGCAAAAAGGGACTATCTGATTCTAACCTGTTGTGAATGTTTACATACTCATCAGTTTCATCCAATATTTCCTCCTGAAAAAGAATAGACAAGAAAACGTCAAGATCAGCTGACGCCTGAAGCTGAGAAGAGACTCATTAGGTGATGAAAGCCCGGATGCAGGATTACACTCCAAACAAAAAAAATCAATCCTGGACTCATCATAAGGTTTGTAGTAGCTACAAGCCTACAAGTTTAGTTTCTCCAAAAGAGCGGAAAAAAGAAATGGTTTCTCCAGTTCTGGTTCAAAGACAATACCTGAAGAAGCTCCTCAATGACATCCTCCATGGTAATTACACCGAGCACTACTTCATTGGGAGGGAACTCAGGAATCGGTGAGTTCTCCAAATCCAAAATGCAAAATGAACAACCTCGGTGTCTCTTCTTGAAAGCAGGAGTAGGTGGAGGACTTCTCTTCATTGCTTGTTCTCCATCTTTTTTGCTAGAATCATTCAAGTCAGACTTAAACCCAGCATTTTGCTTATCTGCAATTTTTTCAGGTGTTCATATTAGAAGCAAGAAGTAGGCTATCACATACTAAATATGTACATCAATCAGGAAACAGATCACTTTCACATGTTCAAATCAAAAGGATAGATATTACGCAAGGCATTTCTTGTGCGGATAGATTAGCCTTTGGCAAAAAAATCCAAGACAAGTAGGAAGGTATCACCGGCAAAGTCAGTTTGTAACACAATCTAAAGAAGAGAGGCTAGATTTTCACCTTCCGTTTTCTTTGCCATCCCTTTTGTCTTGTTTAGATCTCTATACACAACAGCAATGTGGCTATGACCCTTCTGAAATTCATTTAGTATATCATAAAGTGGAATGTTTTCCAAAACCCTGAGGCAATCCCAGAAAGAAGTTAGTTAACACATTGTTGTCGCACAGTCAGCACTATAAAGAAGGTTCAATAACAGGGGGAAAACTCGGGAGCAGGAACAAGAAAAGTCTTCAGTATTCAAGACCACAACCTGACTAAAAGGCAAAAGCTAAACAACAATTTGCTTTGAGCTTTTTTTTTTTAAATTCCAAATGATTTGTATTTTTCTGTTGATAAAATAGAACCACACTATAAGAGAGCTAGTTCCTTGGGTTGAAATTCAGCATATGTGAATTTAAGTTCTCCACATACTTGATAAATAAGCAGGTGCATTAATCACCCCCCTCCCCCCCTCCAAAAGGAAAAAAAAAAAAGAAAGAAAAAAAAAGCAGGCGCATCATAGAGTTGAATTATGTCAATCAACTGTTAAAGAGACAACGTGTGACTCAGAAGTCCAATTCTAACTAGCATAAAAAACTCTCACAAGGATCAGTGCAAGGATTTGCTTAAAGATTGGGGATGTAAAAAGTAACATGAGAAATCTACTTTATCCTTACCGAGGAATTTTTCTGATAGTCATTTTCCTCAAAGGAACTGAATCATCTGGGTCAACTGCTAAAAGATTCTTAACCTGCAAAATGTACATTAAGAAACACAGTTCTAATGCTGTCAGCTCTTAGTAATGGCATATTATGAATGAGATCTGCAACAACAATAATCACCCACGGCGGATCTAGCTACTGACTGAAATAGTGTATCTTCAACAATGCATTGATCAGTAACCACATCTAGAGACAAGAACTTACCAATATCAGACCAATAATGTTTGTGGGATCTTTATAGTACACAGGTATTCTGCTGTGACCCATAGTCATTATAGCATTCAGTGTCTCCCTGTCATGGAGCAATAAACAGAACATCAACACAAACGTAATGCACAAGACAGAGAACTTTAAACGCAGTTGCAGCGAATAAACCTACAAATCAAGTGTGGCATCAAGATCAAGAGAAAATGCCTTTGATATAGGGGTCATGGCATCTCTTGCAGTCTTTTCGGTCAACTCAAGCGCACCAGCTATTATTGTTGTCTCATCATGAGTCAAATCTCCCCCCTTACCGGCCTAATAGGAACAAGAAATGCAAGTGAGGACATAGGAGAACTCCTTATCTAGAAATGCACACATTCTTTGCTAATATTACAGACCTCAGAATACTTGCCAAAAAAAAAACTGTATGAAGGTTAGGAATTCAAGGGTTACCTCATTTCCATGAAAATCAACTAATGTTTTTAATTCTGCTCTTCGTAACAGGGCAGCATGACCTTTTCCAAGCACCCAGTCCAGTACCTAGAATGGATAGTCAATAACATTCAGACCTCAAATAAGTACAGACTTTCTCTAATAGCACTAGTTATACAAGTTAAAGAACAATCAGGTATGCTCTCAGTTTCCTGTCCGAAGAGTTGAAATTTTGTCACTACTCACTTGAGCTATCACTTCATTACCTTACTGATTGGATAAGCAACAGGAAAAAATATCCAAAGAAGAAGCTGAACAAGGGGTGCAACTGTTGCCCCAACCGTCAATCCATAACGAGTGCAGATTGCTTGTGGAAGTATCTGCAACAATCAACAGTAGTACGAACCAACTTAATCCAATAATTTACAAGCATTTCCTAATCAACAACAACAAATAACTCTATTGACGATAACTACCTCCCCAAACATGAGGATAAGCGTCACAGACATTAGAATTGCTGCCCATGGAGGCACAAGCTTGTCCAAAAATATTGGAAGAGACTGCAGCAAAGACAAGAACATTGGTCAGCATTCAGCAATGTTAACCTTATGTGCAAAAATATCTTGTCAACTAAAAAATAATTACAAACCTCCATAGCCAAAGAGTTGCCAATCAATAGAGTGCAGAGCAAAAGGTGTTGGTTTTTAACCACGGGAAGAATTTTAGCTGCAAAACAAAAACAAAGGGTTTCATCTCAATACTTAAAAAACTTATGTTCCCTACCTGTCCTGAAATCTATAATCAAAATGAAGTACTGCAGCAAAAGAGCCAAATTGTTTTCTAGAAGATCAATTTGCTCAATAGGATCATCATGTCATCTGTAGTCATAGCTAGCAGGTTAAGAACACACCAGCAAGCCTCACCACTTCCTATTTACCTCTTCCCTCCCACTATTCAAAGCAGGTTAAGAACAATTTTGTAGTGCTAGATCTTGTTAGCTGAAATTATTAACATTAAGTCACCAAACAAAGACAACAAATTAAATTAACTTTCGGGCAGCCAACTTAGGCTGATAATCTTAATCAAAATTTTAGCCCTGTCAACTAGTTACTATCGACATTAAAACTGTCCCCTGAATGCAGAGCTACTTGGTGCAGAAAATTTTAGTCTCAAAGAGCTTAATCTTGAAGTGAATTAAACACCTACACAATCAGCAATCATTCCAGACTGTTGCACTGACATTACAACAGTACCCAGACACAGAACCTAACTGAATTTCAACTTCGAAAAGAGGGCAATAACTGGACCATAAACAAAATCCAAGTCCAGAGAACAGGAAGCCATTAAAGATAGAGCCAGAGAGAGAGAAAGAAGCAGGACGAACCGGCATGGATACGATCTTTAGGGCGTCCGGATTTGCTAAGAACTTCAAGGTCGACAAGACCAAGAGACATGAGACCAAGTGTGAGGCCAGCCATGAGCCCAGCAAAAACCACCAATCCCACAATTATAGCAACGTACAGGAAAAAATTGGACTCGCAGCACTTAACATCGCTGTGCCCCATTTCTTCTTCTTCCTGATAAGTCCGTACAAAATCGCAAGAACCCAATTACTTCTTTGCGTTTTTATGCCGATTGAATTGAACAACCGCAATGAAATCAGCCCGAATCTGGTACGAGTCAGCTCTCACAATCACCCACAACCTGACAAACACTTTTCCCCTTCTCGTTGGGTGGGATTTTCCGAATATTCTTTTAATTATGTGTGAATAAAGGACAGTTCTTTTTTTTTTCTTTGGGATAGTTTAATTATGTAGTTGAAATCACCTCGATCCGATCAGAACCCGCAAACGGACTGTGTCTGTTCGCTTCCTGGACAAAGACTGCAGTCCAAGGTTTTAGCTTTTTTATGAGGTCGACGATTGAACTTTGGAGTTGAGTGGATGTTTTGTCTGTCAAATAATTGATGGAATTTGTGCCGACCCATTCAATGATTCAAGTTCAGTAAACTTTCAGAGCCAACTCATCCCGATTCAGAAAGTTACACTCTATGAGTCAAAAAGGAATCATTTTTTGTATGCAAAATTTTTTATTTTTGTCCGTACACGAATTCGCGTTGTTTATAAATGATACTCCTTCTTTGCCATAATTATTATCCAGTTTAGGTTTTCATTTTTAGTTCAACTTGTACTAAAAATCAAATATCAAACTGGACAATAATTTTAGAACAGAAAGAGTAATAGTTAAACTAATAAGAACAGATACTACACTTGATAGTAGTTATAGAACTTAGACCCTCCTTTATAACAAGGAAAAAATGACAACAAGACAGTATGTAAATTTTGTAGATATACAAGGATGCTGACAAGTTTTTGTATTTGGATTGTTTTTTATTGTTTTTGGGTATTTTTTCTATTAGAAATATAAAAAAAAATGTATTAAAAATATAAAACAGCATACTACTAGAATGGAACAGTTATTAATAAAATTTTAAAAAACGCCTGCTTGAAAATAAACCGAACAGAACCATGATTCGAATCCATTTTGTGTTATGTCTATGCTAATAAAAAAATATTTATATCTTACTTTCGTGTTTCTTAAGAATTTTATTCTTTTCAGGTGAGGTTTTGTTCATTGGTTTGGGTCACCATTTAGACACGTGCCTATCTTGGCCATTATGGGGTCTGATTTTTTGCAGCTTATCTGTGGAAAAGAAAAAAAAGGAGTGAAGGGGGAAAAGGGTTTGGATTTTTTTTTTTTTAATATTACGCACGGTATCCTAAATGCATTACACTCTGAGGAAAAATTCGTATCGAGCCGAGTCGGTCTCCTTTTAGACGAAAAATTCTCCCAACAATGCTCTTCTCTCAACAACTAATCCGTATCGAGCCGAGTCAGTCTCCTTTTAAAGGAAAAATTCTCTCAATAATGCTCTTTTCATTCACGGGACTCGAACCGAAACCTTACTTAAGGGAATCAAAACACCTTACTACTTTGGCCAAGCAAATGTTGGTGAAGGATTTGGACTTTGGATGTAAGTAGGCTTTGTTTTGGTGAAATTTTTGTCATACTTTCGGGTAGTACAAAACTAAAAATACAATTTACACTCTATAAGGCCGTGATTGAAAAATCAACAAAATTTTTTAAGAATCTAATTTTTGTAACTAGATCTCTGATTAATTTTCCCTACTTTTAGTGTTTAATCAATCCATCTTTGTGCGAAACTATGATTGAAAAATTATATTGTCACTGTAACGACGATGCGTGAAATGTGTTTGATCAAGACTTCTATGATTCTATCGATGGCAAGATTGGCATGGTAGAAATGAATTGATGATGGGCCCTTATGAACATACTTGCAGTTCACTGCTTTACTACGGGCCATAAAATTGCAGGAGAATATGGACTAACCCAAATTAATTGTATGAGAATTTGAGGGCCCATCATAATAGCTCATTTTTTTTGTTTCGGATAAGGCCTTTTTAATGCTACTACTATCAGAGCACGTCCCAGTTGGATCAAACTTACTTCATTTTTTTTCTAAAAAATATTGGTCAATACCTACAGGTGTAATGATAACGGCTGGATACCGGATACGTATGTAAAAAAAAAAAAAAAAAATTGTCGTGTTACTGCAAAACGTTCATTTTGGTAAAGAGAGAAATACGAGTGAAATCATTAATGCATTATTTCCCACATTATCAATGAAGTATTCGATGGCGATCCACTGGATTTTATTTTATTTTTTTTTTGTCCTTTTTTTACTCAGAATCCAGAGCCACGGGAATATAAAGGGTTGCCGTTTCCCCCGGCAAAATCAAGCTGTTAATTTAACGCAAATCTGTAATGTGAGGCATGGATTGAAAGGTTTTAACTAGGATGCTGAGAAAATTTAATTCTGGAGGGATAATGTTGTTTTTCTCTGCTTGTCGATCTTTAACTAGCCACAAGAATGGTGAAACAGTTCCAGAAAGAACGGTACAGGATACAAGACAAACGGCATTTTGGCTTTTGTAGATTAAAAAAAAAAATTGTACACTTTTATTTTCATAACATTTTTGAAAAAAAAAAAATCGTACGAGGTATATTATTGATTTATGGAAATATTCATACATTACATTAGGGAGTAGTCCATTTTATACATATCTTGGACCTCTCTTCTACTAACCTTAATAAACTTACAAGATTTAGAAAGCTGGGTGATAGCTTGGTAAGCTTCAACTGGAGCTAATAGATCTAACTTCTTGATAAGTAATTCACAATCAGTTACTATCCTTATTTTCATAACATAAATTAGTTCATTTTTTGTTGTTTTAGTTCTCATATCGAGTTTGTATTACAAGATCAATGATATATGATCCTGTCTACGACTATAAACACATCGTATTTTTAAGTTTCATTCAAATCGTGTTTCATCTCCTATCAATTAAGTGCTTGTTTGGATAACGTTTTGTTTTAGTTTTTTATTTGGATTTGAGAAGAGATTTAAAAGGTAGTTTAGTTTTTTATTTAGAAAGTATTATAGTATAGTGATTATTTATGAAATTAAAATAGTTCAGTCACCAAAATGAAGATTTTATAATAGTATAACGACCAAACACAAGACTTTACAATAATTTAGTGATCAAGCGCAACACTTTACAAGAGTTTAGTAACCAAACGCAGTAAAGACTTTATAATAGTTCAGTGACCAAAACGAAGACTTTACAACAGCGTAAGACCAAACACAATATTTTAAAAGGTAAATTAAAAAGTTGTATAGATGATTTTTTTTTTCATTGAATTTTGTGTTGAAGAGGTAAAATGAGTGAAGGTGGAAAATAAGTTATTGGATAAACAAACATACTTGTGACATGTTGAGGTCCTTAGTCTGATAAGTTCAGTGCGGTCCAGAGATAACTGGTACTTATAAGTTCCTAACCAATGAATTCGTAGGAACCCACCCACTTTTGGTAATAAAACATTTGCCTTTGTCTTTGCTCCCTTTCGTCCTTTTCAACTTGCTAAAAAGGACAGGTTATCGATGGGAAAAAAAAGGGGCGTATTATGATTATGAAAATGAATGAATTGGTTGGTAGTCGTGGTCTCTCTTCTGACCTTCCTTTAGATTTTGGTGTAGAAGCTGGATACGATATGAGCTTTTTCTCAGACGTTGGTTCTGTGTGGCTCTCTTTTTGCCTTATCCCCTTCTCTTCTTTCAGATTTCTTCTGTGTTAACCAACATTCCTACAACTTATATATGTCATGGCTTTTACACTTTCTCATCCTCTTTTTTATATATCCTCCAAAAAAAGAACTCGGCATTGTGAGAAAATATGTCTGATCATCAAGAGAACGGCCAATCTGATGATGATAAGGTTGTTCACTCATGGCCAGAAGAACTGAAACTGACTGACCTGTTGTATACTGAAACCATTCAAGAAATCCACAGAGCAATACAGAGTGATTGGGATTCCACCCGTCGATCGGCGTGTCAGACTGCAGCAGCCAGAGCCTTGTGGAACCATGTGGTTCATGATCCGTTGGCGGAGTTGCTGGCCGGAGAGACCAGCCTGAGAACCACCTATGAGAAGATCAAGAAAGACTGCCTTAACAATGCGAGAGAAATTTCCGGAGTTATTCTGGCTGTTCGAACGCTTTGGTTCGATTCGAAACTTGAAGCAGCTCTCAATTCTTTTGCTGGTGGAGCAGCCCAGATTGTCCTCCTCGGTGCAGGTGATCTTATAATGTACTGTTGTTTCTTCAATATGTTCAGGAATGTATCCATGTTTTTGCACTTTGGAAAGGAAGACTCAAGTGATATCTTCTTGCATTCATGAAATGTGTGGAGCTTTTGAATTGAAACTATTTATGCTATACTGTTAACACACAAATTAATCACTTACCAACCAATTTAAAAGGTCTGTCCAAGTAAGAGTGCTCCACCAGAAGCACCAAAGCATTTCAACGTAACTTCATTTGAATGTGATTTTTCTGGAATCCCCTTCATCTATCTTCATACTAGCTATCATGACGTCTTAATAACTCCTGGAATTCAATTCCCTGCAGGAATGGATACAAGGGCCTACCGTTTGAGTTACTTGAAAGAAAGCAAAGTTTTTGAAGTCGATTTTCCTGAGGTCATGCAAACAAAAGCCACCATTTTACAGGCGGCAGCAGGTTCAACAACCAAGGATCAGCATCCAGTGATGACAGCAAAGTCATTGAGCAGAGTGGCAGCTGATCTTAGAGACAACGATTGGCTACAAGAACTTCAAAAGGTGGGATTTGAACCAGAACAGAATACTGTATGGATTTTAGAAGGTATACTGTACTATCTATCGTACTCTGATGCCACAGAAGTATTGAAGATTATTGCCGAGAGTTGCAAGCTTGCACATACAGTCTTACTAGCAGACTTTATGAACAAGCAGTCAACTGCACTGTGCAGCTCTATCTTCCGTTTCTATTGTGATTGGCCTGAACAGTTGCTGCCGACCCTTGGTTTCTCTGACGTTAAGCTCTCTCAAATTGGTGATCCAGATGCGCATTTTGGCCTCTTGCATGATCCGTTAAATCTGTTTAACAGGTTGCGCAGTTTGCCTAGATCTCTTCAAACAAACCCAGATGATGGAACACCATGCTGTCGATTATATCTGGTCCAAGCCTCCAGATCACCAACTCAGGATATTCAACAATGAGATCCTATAATGCCACCAAAGTTATGACTAGCATACTCCCAAGACATAGCAGCAGATGTAGGCATCACAAATTTGTAGTGTATATGATCAATCTCAGAGTTGATAGCATTACATAAAGGCACAATATATGAAATCATTTTATGGCAATATTATACCTTCCTCAACACAGAACAAACAACTAGGTGAATAAGGAATTCTGATAAAGTATCTGTAAATGGTCTTAAGACAGCCTGCATTCTACAGGTTTACATTTCGCTTACTTACATTCTTGCACATAACATTTTCATGGTGATGCATGGCATCAGTTTCACCATGGAGCTGGCACACATTGAAACTGACATTGATCTTTACAGTACGTTTCTAAACTATCTTTCTGTTAATGCAATCACATTAAAACTCCGGTAACTGTTACCAATCAAGTTCAAAATACAAAAAAAAAATATATAAGATGAGAGGTTTTCAATCATGTTAAGTTTGCACTAGTTTTGTATCTGGGGAATGCACAAGTTTTTACTATTTAAGACATAGATGGAGAGACTAGAGAGATACAAAACAAAGAGCTGAACAAATTGTTTCAATATACTTGAGACTTCTTCAGTTCCTCTCTTTCACTGATACCCAGATCCAATACACTTCTCAGTTCTCCCTAATTTAGTACCTGACATCTGATAATCAAATTTCAAGACAATCCTTGATTCCCTGCTCAAAGTTGTCAAGGGAATACAATGCATCCGTGAGAGCACTTGCAACCTTTTGCCTGCAAACAGGGAAAAATCAACCGAGAACTAGGATATAGGTTTTTGCTCATCCAAGATGCTTGAATCTAGAATTTCTTTTTAATACCTGTTATCAGAAACTGGCGCACTTATTTCGTTGGTGATATCACTGAGAGAAGCTAATGATCTGCAATTATTAAGAAATTTATGTGTGATTAACAAATTTTGTTGAAAGGTTTCCACCAAGAACTCATTATGTGCTACAAAGACAAAGGAGCAAATAAATAGAAAAGGCGAAAGGTGCACGGCGCATCTCATGCAGATTGACCTTATTGACCTACATATCTGGTATGGAATAAATCTCCCAAAATTTGACAAATTACTCAACACGACAAGCAACTCAAAGCATGATCCTGCCATTAAATCGTCCTACCTAAGTTGCCTACAGATGTACTCTCCATGAGGGGGATACATCAGTGACATTTTAAAATGCTGATCAATTTAGGCATCAAATACCCCAAAAAAAAAACAACGGAAGTACTCAAAGGAAGATTAGACAACTTTTGTACCTTAGCATATCAGTTAGCTTGGCTTCAGCTTCTAACTTTATTGGATCTTTGTCACCAAGCAAAGAAGCTGCATTTTTAAGGATCAATCGGAAAGTACAGACCTGAGAGAGAGAGAACGGAAGTTAACATAGGTTCCATCAAGCTAAACAAAATTTACACTAATATCAACAATTCCATGTCTCTCCTTCCAATTACATCACCATTCCCTACTCACAGAAACTAAATCCTGATCCCAACACCAGGCTAAATTTATAAAAAATAATGAAAAACCTTTCTAAATCAAATGCAATTATTCCAAGGTCAAATAAAGTTCTACTACATTTCATTCAACCATACAACAAGTTTACCTCTACTCCCGTATTAGCCTGGAACGCAACAAATGCGTTTCTGTCTTGAACAACACAATCTCTAGCAGCAGAAGTGATCAACTTTCTAACTTCTTCCAAGTCATTTTCCCCAAATTCTGTTTCGCCTTTTGCTATTGCCCCGAGAAATGAAGGGAAAAAAAAGATTGAAACAACTAATAATAACTAAACAAATACCATAACAGAAATGGATATTACAAATAGGCTTACTGAGGAGAAGATACGCGGAGCGGAGGCTGTTTCGAGAAGCATCAATGGGAGCTAAAAGATATCTGGATGATTTCTTCTTCTGCTCTTTTAGCCAATCCTTTGGTCCTGCTGAGATTTCAATAAGGAAAGTGAAAAAAAAAATCAGAATGAATCTTAAAGATAAAAGGGGGGGAGGAGGAGAGATTACAAATTCCCAAGGAGAATGCGGAAGCAGCTGGTGGACTGCTGACTGTGAGAAGAAGTGGAGCGGTGATAAATGATACCAAAACGACGGTGGTTCTCCGGCGTGAAATTTCGAGGGTAGAATGCTCCGACGGCGTGGGTGGCGGAGGACGGAATGGGGCGGCGGGGAGTGTGGTACTGGTGGTGGAGGAAGGGATGATAGTGAGTGAGATATTATTGATTGGTAGCGACATTTTAGGCCGTTGGTTGGCTCCATCCGCAGAAATGCAGTGACAGTTTAAAACGGAGCCCAAAAAAAGGGAAAACGCTGAAAATGGAGATGCGGGGGATCGAACCCCGTGCCTCTCGCATGCAAAGCGAGCGCTCTACCATTTGAGCTACATCCCCAGTTGCGTGATTACATGATCAATAAATATTTATATTTTATTTAAAATAGATGAAACACGAAAGATTTGCTTGATCAATCTTTTTCAACATTTTGAAAATTATATACACACTCTATCCGAAATGTATAATATGAGTTTAATTTCTTTTAACAAAAGTTGTAAAAATATTAAAAATTCTGACAGATGAGTAACGAACAAAGATTCAAGTAATCAAGTTTCTATATAAGGCAATAAGTATTGACGCGATTCAAAATCGATTCACACATGACATGACAGAAATAATAAAACAAAAAAAAGCACACGGAGTATTCAATATAATCTCAAACATGATCAGACTGATCACCCTAGTATTGCTGATTACATGTGAGAAGTAACCCATAGCTCTTATTTTAGGATGAAATAAAAAAAAAAAAAAAAACATAATCTGATCATTCATGTATCTTAGTTGTTAATTTGTTGTACCGAGCAAGTAACAACAGCCTAATAATTTGTGATTGTAATAAATACTAACAATCTTCGTTATAGCTCAAAATAAATTCCACTCCAAAAGTTCAATTATTCCAACTACCTCATTCGAAATAGTGATTCTTAATCCACGTAAGTAATTCCTAAAGAATCATGGAAAATACAAGAAGGTCAAGAACATACGCGTTTTGTTAATTTATGGTTTTTTTTTTTTTAAAAAAAAAAAAGAAATCAAGAGGAGAGACAACGTGGAATTATTATAATACCAGCAATAATCACATTTTTACTATCTTTAAAGTGTAATTATTTTATTTAGAGAGAAGAGTTGGGGCATCAAAATTGATATGCAATTGTTCCCAAATCGCAGGAGCATCTGATACATATATTCCGTAATCCCTCCTACCCCAATGCCCATCTTTTGCCATGACCATGGCCAACCTCTTTCACCAATATTTCATTTTCTTTTTTCCTTTGGCATAAAGTAGTGCATCACTGGCGTTTTAGTATCACATTGTAAATATAAATTTTACTTGTAATCTTAATTTTTCGATATATACATAATTATTAAAAGTGTTTTTTTGCAGTAGATTAAAAGTTAATTATAAGTGATTAAGTGATAGTCAAGTGACAATGTTACTTGACAATGTTTAACATCGGAATGTAAAGTAGTACATATTGTGAATAAAACTTAAGTACCGTCAATTGTTATCATAGAAATATGTACTTTTTTCTCGTCAAAACAAAATAGTCCTTGTTAATTTATATTACAATATTCAATATGGACGATTCTTTTTTATATAAAGGAAACATTATTTCCATGCTAATGATTAGCTTCGAATGATCGAGAGTAAATAATACATTTATATTTTTAGCAAGAAGTTAGCTAGCATAATATTATGCATATATTTGCCTACTCATATTACCTTTCTATGTGTTTGAGACGTTATGACAGGGGATTTGATACAATATAAGAAATGTTTTTTTTTAATTTTTTATTTTAAAGATTAGAAATAGCAACAATTTACAGTTTGACGAAATATTAACTTCTGAAAAAATAAAAAACGTTATATTAACAAGTTAATAATTAATAACATAATAAAAGACGGTTAAATAATATCATACGTCCCACATCAGCTATTATTTTATTTTACTATACATTTCTACTAGTGGTGGACCCGTGCGTTGCCCGGGATGTAAAAATATTTCAATATACTTAAGCGGGAATTTTTTTTAATAACCTTTAGATGAATTTTTTGCCTTTTGCCTACAGCCACTATTTCACCTATGACATCTGAAAAAAGGAGAATTATAGGATTATTTTGTCTAAATATTTAGTAATACTTGTGGAGTCATATATAATGTAGAAAAAACAATTCACCTATCAGTAAAGATTCATTCACCCTTTTGTTTATGATATCAGCAAATTTCGGGAACTGAAAACCATATTCACCAATATAAGGACGATTCACAAACTCGGGAATTGTCGCAATCTTGGTACTGCGTTTGAATATTATTTTGTATTTGTTATCACTATATCTTTGGAGCTCTTTGTCAGTAGCCGTACCAAAATGGCTTATTTGTTTGTACTCTCCCACCTTCATGGGATCTTGAAACTTGTATATTAGGTCTTTTTTAATTTCAGCAACGGTCCTATTGCCCTGCGAAATAATAATACAACAAAGAAAATAAAATTTTAGTAATCAAATAATCACAATGATAGGTTTGTATATATGAATATATATATATAAAATATTTTTTTAATAATAGGTGCAATTTACCTTTTCATCGATTAAGACGCTCTCAATCATGGAGATTTCGTTATCATCATTGAAATCCATCTTTGTCCACACGCGTAAAAGACGAACTCGAACAATCCATCCAACTCCTCGGCTATTATCGAGCTCGTTGAGAAAATTAAATTTGGAAGACATGATATACGAAACCAATACGGATGTGAGTGTATTTTGGTGTGTGTTTTGATTCAAATCATATGCTAAATATTTATAGGTAATGAAAGTTCCGTAATTTTTTTTTTATTTGGATAATGCACCATTTTTTTCAGATTAGGGGGGAATAGTTATGTGGTCAAACCGTGAAATTTGTGTGCCATGATTGACGCGCTTAGATTATATTAATAAAGATTTAATTTGATTTTAATTTTTGATATAGTAAGAATGTCCAAATTTTTGATTTAGTAAAAATGAGAAAATTTAGTAATTATCCAAAAAATAGTAATCATGGAATAATTTTTTGGAAAGATTGGCCTGGGACTTGGCGTCGTTTATGTTGCGTAACTTCCTGAATCACATAAGCCGCATGAGTCACGCCTAATCTTTGCTTCCAATAATAATTAATTATTTTGATTTCTATTTTATGATTTAGTAAATATGGGAAACTGATTTTGAAATTTTGATACATTAATTGTAGTTTGAATCTGAACGGAATTATGGGTCATAAGATTTTTTTAAAATGGTATTTGAAATGGGATAATCAATACATACCTAAAATAGTTAAGGATAGGACAATTGTGAAACTGAAATTTCATCCATGTTTATTTGCATTAACGGTAGAGACATATATGTAATTAAGTGAAAGCGCTATTTTGTTTTTTTTACCTGGTTAAATAATCAGGTGTAGGCTTAAATAAGTAAAATTAAGTTGTTACAATAAAAATTTACTATATCTAATTGAGTCTAATTTTTATGAAGGTTTTATTGGACATCTCATTATGTGACACGTGTCCTAAAAGCTTATTCTCTTAATATATATGATTAGACATAATCTTCATACCTAGTACTCTCTTTATTCCAAAATTATTATCCAGTTTGAACTTTCATTTTTAGTTCGAATTATATTAAAACTGAAAATGGAAAATGAACAATAATTTTGAGACAGAAGGAGTGTATTGTTTGCTATGGAAACATGATATGATGAACAAGGAAATTTCAATTATTCAAACCCCTGCGAGGGAATACAACTTAGGATCCTATTTATAAGATTTGAACTCAAAATATGAAACGATTTATTTTCCTAACCTGGCAAATAATTGTAACTCTTCTAATAAATTTGCCTAATGTCGCACTACTATAGTAATGGTAACTTTGATAATGAAAAAAGACTTTTAGACTCTTAACTTGTCTTTTACATACACAACATTATTCATGAGTCATGACTGCTAACAGAAAAAAAAAACGTTTCATTACTACATTAGTACATTATGCGTGCTTACACACCCAAGCGGTTAAATAATATAATATGTTACTCTCTCCAGTTCTTAATAAAATATTTTAATCTATCATAGATTTTACTTAATATGTTTTCTTATTTAAATAAAAAAATTAAAAATATTTTCTAATAATTAAGACGTTACAATGAATGTGAAAATGTATGACAAATCAAAATGTTTTGTACTCGCTCCATTCCATTTTAAGTGTCGTTCTCCCAATTTCACAGAGTTTAAGAAAGTCTTAATTATCTTAATAAAATTACTAAATTATCCCTAATCTTAAACATTTACTCAAACTTTTACATGGTAAAATTCTTGGGTACTAAGAGTACAAGTCCACAACACTTATTTTAGAAGAATTTTTTTTTTTCTAAAACGACACTTAAAATATAACGGAGGGAGTAATAAAGATCGAAGGGAATACCTATAAACATGTTTTCCACAAAGAGAACAACAATGACAATCTATTCCATTTGTAACACTTTAGAATATTATCCACCACAAACTTTATTGAAAGAGAAAAAAAAAGAAGGAAAAATCGACATAAATACTGTAAATGCTGTAGTATATGCCACATCAGATGAGGAAATCCCCTCATTGGCCCAGAAGGCCATATAAACCCGCAACCCACCAGAAGCCCGAATCCACGAAAACCACCCACGTGGCCGTTCTCTATGATACATCCAGAAAACATGAAAATTAAAAGTTACCGCTAAAAAAAACAAAAAAAAAACTTGTCGGTCTTTCCACCGCCGTTAAAAAAATTTGCGCCACCGCGCATCACCACCCATCCTCCTCCCTGGCAAATCCACACCCTTCTTCTTCTTCTTCTTCTACGTGTTAATACCCCCAAAAATCCCATCACATTTTATTCCCCCGGAATAAACGAATTCGATTCTGTCGCCCAGTTGGGTACCAAAAAATTCGAATCTTTCCGGAAAAAAAAAAGGAAAAAAAGAAAATCCCATCTCATATTACAGAGTTTTCGGGGTGGGTTGGGAATCAAATAGAATTATAATATATGTTGATTTGACAGAGGTTAATGTCTCAAGCAGCATATGCTTGTTGTTATTGTTATCCAATTATAGCTCCAATTGTAGAGGAAGGAATTGGTTGTTCTTCTTGTGCTGCTGGGATAGTTGGAAGGGTATCTGATACGTTTTGTTGTAAATCTGTATCTGTTGTTGGGTTGCCTTATAATTCAACATCAAAATGTGTATTTAAGCTGAAGATGCGAATTCCAAAGCGTCCCGTTTCCTTCTGCCTTTCTCTATTCTCCCCTGCCTCGCATCATAACCTCCTCCATCATCATCATCATCATCTTCATCTTCATCGTCCCTTTTCGATTTCGTCTTGTACTTCTTCGCCCCTTTTGAGAGTTTTCAACATCCATTCCAGAGTTGTGGCTGCAAGTGTTTCTGATCATTCTCCCTACAGAAGAAAGTTGGTCCTTCCCAAAGGTTGGTTTTCATTTGTTGTCTCTCTGTTGTTCATTATTTTTTTTTTCCTTACACTTCCATGATTCACGGGACATGGTTTCTTTTATTTTGAATGGTATTGAGCAAAATTTATAATTCATTTGTTTTGCTATTTAATCATATGTTCATGCATGCTTGGTTGTTTGAAACTTTCTTTTGTTCATTAACGGTTGACCCTTTTACGTTATCGAGAAGAAATTTATTTTTGTTTCATTGTGTTGTGGGTTTTAATGATGCTTTCTGTTCATATATAGACATGGATTTTTTTTCTTCTTTTTTTTTGTCTTTCATTTTTTCTGTTGGCTATTTAAATCTGCTATAGGAATTTGTTATCTGCTTATGGATTACGCATCTCTGGAAGGAACAATCAACCTTTATATGCTTATTGGAAACTGAATATAACTATTTATTATGACCCCAGAGATGCCATGTCGGGGAGTTGGTTGCAACTTGCAAGTTTTGGTTAATTGATCCTTTGATGAAGTTGTAAATTCTAAATTTGAGAAATACTTTAAGGTTTGATTAAAGCATTATGAATTTGGGTCGAAGACTGAACTTGGTAATTTTCTTTGCTGGGTCAAAGTTGTTTTTGCAATAAAATGCATAGCCTTATTACAATTAATTCAAGATCATTGCAATTTCGGGGTGGTCAAACTTCATTAAATTTGCTTTAAAGTCTTTCTCAGAATTGGAATCTCCACATGTCATCAAGGGAGAAAATTGTTTATGTCCTTTTTGCATCATCTTTATGTGATGGAGAATGGAGAGATAGGGGCTGCTGATCTTTGAATTCTAGGGATGCCCATAATCTGAATGAGCATGATCTCAGTTAGTGGATTGTCTAAGAGTGGAGGTTTTGTTTGTGAGGATTCATTAAGGGTGCATATTTACTTTGGTGAAATATAGGTGTCTCGTGGAGCATATCTCGGAGTGTAGCCTTACAAGTTGGAACATAACTCAGTGCCTCATTGTTCATGTAAAATGATGACTGAAGGTAAGATGCTACAATCTTGGCTGCAGTACAGCAGGCATTCCTTTGTCACCTAACAATGTGTGCAAGTTAAAAGTGGGTTCACATCGCCTACAATTACTTTGAAATGTGTATTTGCTTTGTGGTCCTTTTGATTTGTCGAAAGGGATCTCAATTTAATAGGGTTTTAACGTATTTCTCTGCCTCCATTTTCTCCCCTTCCTTTTGCTCTTCTGACTCAGATTTTCTCTCTATTTGTATCCTTATTCAATAGCATAGAAATTTAGTTGAACAGTTTCAATCTAAACGTGACACGTAGGAATGCCTGGCAGGATAGGATATTAATCAATGTGTTTCTTTTCTTGATAAATAGCAGGTAATAAGCAGTTACATACTGGCAACAATACAATGGATGGGAGTGGTACAGATGGAAAAAATTTGCACAATGAGAGAAGAGATATCATAGATGGTGGTCAGGATCATCATATATGGTCATCTCCTGAAGGGGGGCATAAAATTGACATAGGAAAACAAATATTCTGCAATAGATCTTTAAACATGAGGAACATCGTTGCTGTTGGATTCGATATGGATTACACATTGGCACAATACAAATCGGAGACATTTGAATCTCTGGCTTATGAAGGCACAGTCAGGAAGCTAGTGTATGATCTGGGGTACCCTCCAGAGGTTTGTATAAAGACTGAAGCTTTCTGTAGTTAGGGATAATGAGATTCGCATCTCCTCTAGTTGCTAAGCTTGCAAGACACTCAATATTTATTTAAATAGCATATTTTGGTTTGAGTAACACAGTCTTTAGTTGCAGTAATACATTTTCATTTCAGCAATTAAATTTTAGTTAGCTCAGCCCATATTTATGCATATTGAATTTATTTGTTTTCAAATAATATGTCTTTGCTCTTATTCAAGTCTGGAAATAGTAGAGATATGAAAGGTGTGCGGTTGTGTTTAATGTGGCAGTTATCTCTTCCAATTGCTTAACATGGTGTTGTTTTCTACCTATCTCTCATAATTTGCTCTGAAACAAGAATTATTGGTTTAAACTAGTTTGTTTTGGTTGTAGCTGTTGGGATGGACATTCGATTGGAACTATATGGTGAGAGGTTTAGTTCTTGACAAAAGAAGAGGCAATATCTTGAAGGTTTGTGTGGCTAATTTCTTAAAACACATTGGTCATCATAATTAGATAATTTGCGTGATTGGGTGTGACTTCGATTCATTTCTTTCTTAATTCCTTCAGATGGATAGGCACAAATATGTCAAAGTAGCTTACCATGGATTTAGGGAGATGTCAAAGGAGGATAAAGTTGCCACATACGGTAGTACTTTGATTCGAGAAGCATTTGACGAGCCAGATTACGCTCTCATTGATACTCTATTTTCGCTAGCAGAAGCTTATCTGTTTGCTCAACTTGTGGACTTTAAGGATAATAATCCCGGGAAGGTTCCAGATGGCGCAGAGTAAGAACGTTATCACTTATCATGGCTGTTCCACAATTAAATTTTGCTAGGAATTTGCTTGTTATGCCTTTCTTTCATGCCATCATGCATTTAGTAGTTATGCACATTCCACCTGTAATGATGTTGGTTTGAGAGATGAGTTATTTTTTTCTAAAATATTCTTCTGGACGTTATAATGCATGGGGGAACCTTATGCATGCCTCTGATATTTGCTGTTACACAGTTCGCTATGTTGTTTATAAAAATGGACTTGTTTCCTAACCTAGTTCATTAAATTCAGAGATTGTTTTTAAAGCAAACTAATCACATGAAATCAGTTAATAAGGCATTTTATGTGTTGATTGGTTTCAGGTATTATTGTTGTTTTCTGATTTTTAAAATGTCCACAGTTACTCACGTATGTACAAAGATGTCCGAGCTGCAGTTGACCTTTGCCATCGTGATGGAACCCTGAAACAGATGGTGGCTAAAGATCCAAGAAGGTAATTGGAATCACTTCTTTTCTTTGAATTGTTTGTGGATTTGGGCATTGAAATGATGGAACCTTGTTCATTTTGCTATTAATACAGGTACATCAATGAGGATCCTGCAATTGTTCCGATGCTGAAAATGCTTAGAGAGTCGGGCCGTGCAACATTTTTGGTGACTAACAGGTATGATGTGGAAATGTTTCCTGTAGTACCTTCGAATGTATATGAAATCTTAATATATTTTTACTCATTGGATATCTTCAATGATGCTTGGAAAGAAAAAAATCATTACAATTTTATATTTTTTTATATAATCATGATGGACTTTGAAAGTCCCTCCCCCATATCCTCGTGAAGAAGGAGCCTTTCGGCACCGGGGAGTGATTATGGATTTTAAAATCATGATGTATTTGTTGTCCAAGCAAAAGCTGAAGCTAGTGGAAAAGTTGCCATCGAGTTTCTGTTGTAGGAGTGAACTTTCAAACAAAAATTATTTTTTGAAACCTGTGGTATTTGGCATATGGGATGACTGAAATAATAAAATTGTTTTTCGTGCAGCCTCTGGGACTATACCAACGTTGTGATGAACTTCCTTTGTCGACCCAGAAGTGAGGATGATTGTTCAGCTCTGAGTTTCGATTGGCTTAAGTACTTTGATGTTGTCATCACTGGCAGGTCATATTACTTCCAAAATTTTCCTGATACCAGTTAGAAGCCCACAAAAAGTAAAACTAATGTGCAATATTTATGTTTGTGCAACACTACAGTTATTGTGATTGCTTTTTACTCTTGTAACTTGGTTGGTTGGCTGAAATGTTTTAAGTTTTCAGTTGAATCCTTCTATGATCATCACATATCTTCATGTCAAGATGGTTCATTCCTAAAGTAGCAAGTTATATTCCTTTGTATACCCGATGTCATGACAGATCTGCTGTATATACTAATGTGTTGAAATTCTGGAGTATTTCTTTTTATGATTTTGGCCTTTTCGAAATTAAGGAATTACCTGGTAAACAGTTAATTCTCTTTTTGGACTCGATAATGCCTGGCTTTATTTCTCACATATCTTTCTATTAAAGCTTATTTGGGGAAATAGAAGTATGGGATCTTGAGTAATAATTATGACCCTGACAATTTAGATCACGTTCCACTTGATGAGTAAATATATCTTTTGGATAGACCCTAATTAGTTTTACAGTCTCCATGTTGTGCTTTGCTTTCTGATTTGATACTTGCCATTTCAATATCACTGATGAAGATTACTATCGATATGCAGCGCAAAGCCAGGGTTTTTTCATGATGAAATTCGTGCGAACCTTTTTGAGGTTGATATTGAGTCTGGGATGCTTCTTAATACCGATAATGGAACACCTATGGCTCAGGTTAGTGTGACTTCTCTGGGCCTTCAGTCGCTTTTAAGGACAAAGTGTAATGGGTTGACGAACCAATTCTTTTTTTTTTTGGCCCCCCCTTATGTCTTTACAGTCTACTTCTTACATGTAGTTAGAACTAATATTTCTGACTATTCCAGGTTGGCAGTACTGATATAAGGCTACCACCAACGAAATCCAACAAGGATTGCAGAGTTTTCCAGGTAAGAATGGCGTTCAAGATGTTGGTGAAGAGTATACTGTTGAGAATATAACCAAACTCTTTTCTACTGTTCCAATTTTTGCTTCTTTATGTGTGACTGAAGTTTCTTCTTTTTCAAGGGAGGAAATGTTGGCCACCTGCATAAATTGTTATCAATTGAATCAAGCTCACAGGTAATGGAATTGGGGGTGGCTTTGCTACTTGTTTCACTTTATACGAAGTTATTAAGTGGCATCCAGTTTTTCTTGTAAGTGTACATCAATAAGAATGCTCTGTGTATAAGTAACTGAATACCAGCTTCCTGACCATGCTTGTTGTGAATACCTTCTGAAATCGTGGACAGTAGTATCTTTGGAAATAGTTGTTAGTCCGTAAAGCAGAAGTAAGAGTAGTGTTCTGCTTGTTGTTTTTCTGTTCGTCGTCATTAACTACTATCGGTTCATTTTGCTTGGAGCTTTTAATAATGTTTATAGTTTTCTGAATGGTCCTTTTCAGGTGCTTTACGTTGGTGATCACATCTATGGGGACATTCTGCGTAGTAAAAAGGTTCTAGGTACACTTTCTTTTACATTCTGTAGCAAATAGTTACTTTTCTAAACCTTCATCTCAAAAGAACCTCTAGTCTGGGAGTTCTCCACATTGTAGCTCTAAGAAGTTAACTGCCAATTGTTTCTAAATTTTTTCAAATTCTTTCTTTTGGTTTGTAATTAAAAGGGAGAAGTCATGTCAAATGTCTTGCAAAGTAGCAATTCATATGTATAGCAATGGCACGAGTCCATCTTTTGTATGAGTTAAAGGATTCTGGTTTTATTTGGTTTTACTGATTGGACTTGCATGAAATTATTAATGGTGTCCGAATAAAAATTTAGTCTAGTCCCTTTTGGACTTCTTATATTGCCTAACTAATGATGTTAAAACAGTTCCTACTCCGTTTATGTCGCTTTATAGGAATATGCTTCTACTCCAGCATACTCTTTCTGCTCTTATTTAAGATGTTGATTTAAATGGAAAAATATTGTGTTTGCTTTGTGTGATTAATTGACGCTGACTGTATGTCCTCTTAACAGGTTGGAGAACAATGCTTGTTGTTCCTGAGCTAGAAAAAGAAGTTGAACTCCTCTGGGAAATAAGGGGCATCCGCAAGGTATATAGACGTCATGAATTATTTGAATGTATTACAACAACAACAACAACAACAAGAATACCAAGACCATTCATAACATCATCCCTGTATATTTTCATCTGTTTGAATGTATTAAGTTCAAATATTAATTTCCAGTTTGGGAATATTATTCATAATTCTGCCTAGGAAATTTCAGAGACTTCATTTTGAAAGAATTTGATTCGGTTTATGCAGCAACTTCAGTTATTAAGGAGTGAGCGTGACCACATTGAAGACAAGATACATCATCTGAAGTGGTCTCTCAAGTACGTGTTATGATACTTGCAGTGTTCAATGATGAACTTTCTGTCTCTTTTTTGTCTTTTCCTTGGGTCTCGTCAAAGAGCAGATAAACTTCTTGGTAGTCACAAAGTTTCGTAGGCAAAATAGTTTAGTGATTCCCCTCCTCTTTGCCCCTGAAACGTTTTTTTCCCTGTATTGACCTAGTTTTATGAAGCCAAACACGTGAACATCGAGTGACAGAAGTTTTGGATTCATATTTGTTTTATTGACGCCCGTATCCCTATTCTATGGCCAGGTTTAAAGGTGGGGACATCAACAAGGAAGAGTTGTCATCTGAGCTTGAAAAACTGCAGGTAGTTATCTTGATATTTCTGCCCTTATAGATGCAAATTGCGTGGTTGTGTAGGAAGCACCATGTAAACACTGCAAAGTTGCATTGGTTTATTATGGGATTGCGAATTGTTTGTAATGCCATGGTTCCTAATCAGTACAAAATCTTTCTGTGTTTTTTCACATTGAATGATTTCAATCCAGACTGAGAGGGAACAAGTCCGTTTGAGCCATCAACAGGCACAAAGGGAGTGTCATCAATTGGTAAGATTTTAGAAATTTTTATATGGTTCATTAAATATTGTTTCGATGTCTGGGAATCAGTTGTTCCCAGGCACAGGCTCCAAGAAATTTAAAGTAGTTTGGTCACTTGAGTTGTACATGAAGTAGCAGCAGTATATTTTCATTGTTTGTTTATCTTATATGCAAATGATCAAAATTTTCAGTTCCATAAAGTCTGGGGACAATTAATGAAAACTGGCTATCAGAATTCCCGATTTGCACATCAGGTGAGCTTAGCATTCATGGCATACGGCATAAAAATAGTTAAACTGTTTACGTCACAGTATCACTCACTTAAGAGTATCTTTATTAGGTGGAGAGATTTGCTTGCCTCTATACAAGCCAAGTGACAAATCTGAGCCTATATTCACCAGACAAATACTACAGGCCAAGCGAAGATTTCATGCCCCATGAAATTGATATCCTTTCTTTGTAAGAAAAAGAAAAAGAAAAGCACAGTCATAGCAATCTGAATTAGATTGGCAATCGTTCTTGTAGGAAGCATGACTGCATGTAGCACTTAGCTGATAACTTGAAGGCATGTTGCCGAGTTTTCCCCAGTAATGTGTACTCTTTCCTGTTTGTGGTTTGAGGAATTCTGTATATATAACAAGATAGCTAATTAGTTGCATAGTGCCGTCTATAACTGCCTACCTGTGATAGATTGCCTCAAGCCTACCTGTTTTGGTTTTCTTCATTTGGGATGGAGCCATGTATTTTATGGATTGATAGGTGTTGTCAGAAATTTCGTTGTTCCCAGGCACTTCTAACCAAATTGCCTATTTGCATGCATGACTTGTCCACTATAGTCACAGCTCATGTTTCTCATCTATGATCTGAGACTGGTAATTGGTCAACAATCTTTGAAACAAGTTCTTTCCTATGTGTCGTGTGAACTGAACTGCATATGCTGAGCTTACCGGCGACAGGCCGAGAGTAAGATCTTTCTGAAGCAATGCACACCACAAGCACAAGTTGCCGACAATTTGGGGCCTTTTTTGCCTGCAAACAGGAACAGATGAACATTGTCTAGCATAAAAGTGTTGGCTCATCCAAGATGCTTGAATTTGGGATTCTCTTTGATACCCCCCAAAAAGAGAAGAATTCTCTTTAATGGACCTGTTATCAAGTATCAACTATTGCACACTGTTTTCGTTGGTGAGAAGCAAATGATCCGCAATTGTGAAGAAATTTATGCGCCATAACAAATTATTTTCAATGATTCCCTAACAAGAGATGCCACAATGGAACAAGGAATGCAGATTAACCCATATTGACATGTTCTCCCTAAAATTTGACAAATTATTCAAACCATAACGGACATTGAATCATCCACACCTGCCACTAACATGGATTCTTACCAGATCTAACTAAGTTGCTTGTACATACAATCTCGAAGCCCGATTCATTAAAAAAAGCCAATGAATATGTAAGATATCAAACGCCATAAAAGAAAAACTACCAAAGGAAGATCAGACTAGTTTTGTACTTTAGCATGCAGTGAGCTTTGAATATATGCAAATTATAAAATTTTTCTAAAAACTGGCAACAAATCAGAATGAATTTAAGAAAGCATAAAGGGGGGAGGAGAGGCCAATTAATCGAGTTTAAAACTTAAATAAAACGGAGCCCCAAAAAAAAAACAAAAAAAGGAGAAAAATATTAAAAGTGGAGATGCGGGGGATCGAACCCCGTGCCTCTCGCATGCAAAGCGAGCGCTCTACCATTTGAGCTACATCCCCAAGTTTAATAAGGCAGTTAGATATTGTTAATTTATTTGAAAACTTTAATTTTTATTTGCTAAATTCCAGCTTGAAAATACATAACAAACCTCCCTAAAAAGATCCAAGTTCCGAAAGAAACAAATACAGTAAATCAACCAGTGAAAATTGGATTACGTGTGACAAACGACTAACGAAAGTTACTTCCTAAGAATCAATACTGCTCCTAATATCATTCTACACACGATAATGCTATTATATGGTTAAATTTTTAACTTTAAAAGGTGCGGCATCAACAGGAAAGAGTCATCATCTGAAGTTGAAAACTGCAGATAGTTTATCTTGATATTTCCATTAGTAGCAAATCTGTGTTGTGTAGAAATCGCCATTCAACCCTCTAATAGCAATATGACGAACAGAAGAAACAAAAGCTGGTGGTTGTGGTCTTTGCCATTTTTTACTTTTGAACCCATAATTCTCTGTGATGCAATGGTTCACCAAATCTTCCTCTATTTGTTTTCATTGAATGATTTCAATCCAGGCTTTGAGGAGCGATCCCAGTGCATTTGGAGTGTCACCAAATGGATTTTAGAGCTTTTATACTTATGTTGGTTCAATGTCTTGGAATCATTTGTTCCTAGGCACAGGCTCCAAGATATTTTTAAGTACTTTGGTCACCTCGCAGTTGTACTGCCTACCTATGAAAGATTGCCTCAAAGCTACTTATGGTGAGTTACCTATTTTGGTTTTCTTCATTTGGGATGCAGTGCAGGCCTTTACTTTATGAAGAAATTGATACTCCATTGTCCCATAATTATTGTCCAGTTTGTACTTTCATTTATAGTTCAAATCGTACTAAAAGTGAAATCTCAAACTGAACAGTAATTTTAAGACGGAGGGAGTAGTAGTTTTTTTTCATCATCAGAAAATTCATTGTACTCAGGCAAGCCTAATCAATTGCCATTATTAGATCTCCAAATTGGCTATTTACATTACACGCAAGGCAAGGGGAAAATTCACTTCACAAGAATCGGCTACTTGAAAGTTTCACTTCTTTTTTTTTTCCCAAATTGATATGTACCCCTAATCTAAAAAATGAATATAACTATGGCACAATGCTTACATACACTGGATCTCTAGGAGAGCAGATGGCAATGTCATTCAGATCCTTGCCTTGTTCTCTCATCCAGCATGTCAATCGGCGCCGGGAAAATCTCACTGGAAGATCGTTTATGTGAAGAGGAAGAGTATTCATTTGTGCCACTTCCTCCAGACCCAATTCTCCCTGCCTGTTTTAGGCCACTAATTCCTTCTTTCCTCGATGTTTGCCCCGGCAAACCGGCGCCATCTGACGAGCTCTGTCGCCAGCTACCGAAGAGGGCGAAACTCCAATACTTTCTAGATGAGTTTGTCCGTAGCCATCCAGAGCTAATACTTTCTTCCCTGACCACCCTGAATGGATTTTCCAGGGCTCTAAGGATATGCCGCATTTGGGGTCGTCTTGATGGCTTAGGGTTCAAACATGACTTGGCAACTATGGTCACAGCCCATATTTCTTCAAGAAGGTCATCATCTACGATCAGAGACTGATCAACTATCTTCGAAACCAGTTCCTTTTCGTATACATTGACGTCGGATAGGAGGTTTTCCAACTCGTCGTCTGAATTGTCATCGCTCAGCTTACCGGTGACTAGCCCTAGTAAGATCTTTCCAAAACAATACACATCATACGCGCTAGTTGCCGACGACATAGCTGTTAAGAAAATCCCCAAACCATACAATGCATCAGTAGCGCGAAAAAAAAAAAAACCCCGAAAACCTAACCTGGTTGTTTTTATACAAGCAGTTACCATTCTTGAAGTACTAAAATGCAAGCAAAAATCAAGTACCTGAAGTGCCTTTATCAAAGGTTCTGCACGTTGCAAAAGTGGAGAAAAGGTTAGATTTTGATGACTTTTGGACTTGAAAGACAAACCATTTGAACAGACTGATGAAGTTACTTACTGCTGAAGCCGCAGCATCCTGGCAATCTTGTTATCAGCTCCCTGAACACAAACCTCACTTAAACTTCCAAGTCGCACTTCATATTTATCATCAAGAAGGATGCTGCTAGCTTGAATATCCCTTTAAGAACACGCAGAACAGGATTAAACAGATGCATTACTGCAATTTAATTAAGAATAACCAAATATCAACTACAATCACAGCAAGTGATAAAAAAGGAAGAAAAAACTCTGCAACTTAGCCGAAATGGAGTCACTTTTAGTACCTGTGGACAAACGGAGGATTGCACTCATGATGCAAATAGGATATAGCCTCAGCAGCTCCAATAGCAATTTTCAGCCTGGTGATCCAATCTAAAGATTGTAAACCATTGTCCTCCAAGTAATTAGCCCTGTATAAGGCACTGGACAAGTCTCCATTTGGCATGTATCTGTAGACAAAGATCTTCTCATCTTCATGCTCTAAGCAGTAACCAATAAGTGGGATTATTTTTGGATGTTTGATCTTGCTGAAAAGATCCAACTCCACATTATAAATTTCATTCTTGAGCAACTGCAACTGAACTCTCTTGATAATCACAACTTTTCCCGAATCTAACATTCCATGAAATATGTCTCCGGAGTGACCATGCTTGATGAGATTCATGTCACTGAAGTTATTTGTGGCCTGAAGCATTTTCTCATACGTAAATTCTTCACCAAGACCCGGCGAATTCGCAGAAGGCCGAGGCGGTAAACCTCTTTCCACTTGTGAAACTGACTTGGCATCTGGCTTTCCTCTGCTGGTTGCACTTCTTTTAACACATTTGTGCACCATGTATGCTAATCCTGCCCCTAAAATCAAAATGAAGAATAGTCCACCAAAAGTTCCTCCCAATAAATACTTAAGTTTCTTACTCTTGTTAGAATCTCTTGATCGTTCATCGGCATTGTTGAAAGGAATTGCTCTGTCTGCATAAAACCGTAAACATTCCATTGTAGCCCTTTGGTTTGGTATGCTCTGAAAGCAATTCAAAGTGAAGTTGCTTTTAGTAATCGCAGGGGCCATTCCTGTCAGAAAATTGCTGGACAGATCAAGCGAAATGGAGCCAGCACCGAGGGACAGATTTCCATACAACAAATTGTTTGAGAAGTTGAAAACCACTTGATCGTTATTTAAGAATGCAGAAATGTTTGGCAAAGCACCCGTGAGGTTATTCCCAGAGACATCAAGAAAAACCAAATGAGGAAGTGATCCTAAAACGTCAGGAAATGTGCCACTAAATCTATTGCTTCTGAGAACCAAATGTTCAACAGAACTGAGATTCTGAAGCAAATTGGCCGGAACAGAACCCTCCAGCTGATTATTCCCGACCATCAACTTATGCAAGCTTCTCAATCTTCCCAATTCTTCAGGTAATGATCCTGACAAAAGATTGTACCCAAGATCAAGCTCCACCAATGAAGAAAGATTTCCTAGCTGGGCTGGAATCGAATCACCTATACTATTGTTAGCTAACTTCAATGATATAAGACTAGAAACTAATCCAAGCTCAACGGGAATCACCCCAGAGAGAAAGTTCGAGGACAAATCAAGACTTTTGAGGTTCCTAATGCGCGAAATCGAACTCGGAATCCACCCTGTTAGTGAATTTCTTGAAAGATCAAGTGTGGACAATGAATTCAAGTTCCCAAATGTAGCTGGAATTACCCCGGCTATCGAATTATCAGATAAATACAGCGCAATTAGCCCACTCAAATTTCCAAGAGACTCAGGAACTGAACCAAAAATCGCACAAAATCTGAGATCAAGCACCTGCAATGTGGCTAGTCTTTGGCCAAACCATTCTGGAATAGGCCCTGGAAGTGGAAAGCCTGAAGCATTGAATGAAGATAACAATGGGAAATTGGTTAAAGAATCGACAGCAAACCTCGGATTGAGCTTTCCAAATCGGGTTCTGGTTAATCCGGATAAATGTATGCCTGTAACTCTGCCTTCCTTGCATTGAATCCCTGTCCAGTTCAAGCAAGGCTCAACCTTTTTAGGCCAATACCTAGCTCTTATACCAAGAGAAGCCCGGAGGTCCAACAAAGCCCGCCTTTCCGAGTAAGAACTCCCTAAAACCTGTTGAGTTAACGCCAGGATGAAGAACAAGAAGCATAAAAATGCAATCTTGATCTCAACAGCCATAATCCTCCTAAAATACACGATTCCACTACAAAAATCTTGCTTCCCCTCAAGAAGAAAATCCCATTCTTGCTCTCAATTTCCTCAATGGAAATCTATGGGATTGTTGTGGTTGTGGGCCATGACCAAACTGCAACATAGGCAGGTGCATTCAAGTGTCTTCCTCTGTGTATCTATTTTGTAGGGAAAAAAAAAAAAAAACAAATACTAGTAGTGTTCATGAATGACAGCAGAAATGGATTATTAGATTTTGGAGACCAAAATTAAAGTCTGTAGTCTATGGTTGATCACTAACTATGGTTCTCTTTAATGATGCAATCCTGAGAATAGTAAGATGAGAACAAAAAAAACACCCTGCCATTTCTCTCTGTTTCTTCCCCTTTTTGGACCATTGCAAAATCATCAATGACTGTGTGTGTGTGTGTGTGTGTGTGTGTTTGTGGGGTGGTGTAATAATGGAGGGGAAAGGAAGTCATTAATGACAAAAGACCATAATTCACAACTGCCACAACCGCTGGTTTTCAACACTCACACTTCCCTTGCAAACTGTTTCCCGGACACCATTAATGATGAACTATGACAACCGAGTTGACACGGTTCAGGACTTCATCAGTTCATTGAGTTAATTTCTGGAGCCTTTTTTTTTTTTCTTCTTTTCTGGGAATTAGGGAAACAGGGGTGACTAGGGAAATGAAATGAGGGGAATGATGATGATGAATCTGAAAGACTGAAACCTTCATCAATTAGGAATATGTGCCCCCCTCGAGTTGGCGCGGTTTTTCTTGGGGATTTTATTTGTTTCGAACTGGGTTTAAAGGGTTCTTGGAGAAGAGGATTGGAGTCAATCTAGGTACAATTTCCATGAAAAGCACTTATGTTTACACCTAATTATTAGGCCAAGACAAGAGATAGAGAAAGATAAAGATATAAAGATAAGAGTATGGTTTTTTGAGGTTGATAGGTATTTGATTTTTCTTTGGTTAAGCAGCGTCAAATTAGCTCTGAACAATTATGTTAAAGAGCAAGTCGGCTGCAAGTTGGTTTAGCCAATTTGTGAATATGTAGCATCAAAGGGATCACTTCATGTAATTCAGCATACTTATTTTCATTATAAGAACAAAATGCATATTTGTGTTGCATTAACTATTTTTTATTTATATTTTTGGATTTTAGACAATGGTTGAACAATATAATCATCCTGTCTCGAAATTATTGTCCATTTTAGATTTTTATGTTTAGTTCAAATTGTATTAAAATTTCAAACTACATACCAATTTTTAGACAGAGGGAGTATAATGTTATACTCGGGCAATTCGAAAAAACAACGCCCTTAGAGAATGATTCAATCACATTCCATTTAGTATTTTAGCGAATTTTTTAAAAATTTGGATGACACTGAATTCACTAACTACTAATCTGCATCATCCGCTAGGTTCCTTATTGACCTACTCAACCCTAATCAAAACATATATTATTCACTAATAATTCTTTCTATCCCTTTTCAAGCAAGCAACAGGGTCAACCCTGAATAAATAAAGAAAAAATGACAAGTGAAGTGCATTTGCGTTCCCATTATTGTTACAAGAATAATTTGTAGTTGATATCTACTTGTGCATTTTATTTTTTTTTATTTTTTGTTTGTTTTTTGGTCGAAATGTGATGCATATGCAAGTCGTCGAGGTGCAAAGAGAAGTTGACTCGCAACAGTTTGCAGAAAACCATTGGACTACTTGTCTTCTAATTTGTCGCAGGTAAAGAAATGACAATATTTTTTTGTTTGGTTTTACAGATATTAAGGGAAACCCTCATCTTCCTATTCCACGTATTCCACATTCCTAGTTGGTATCAAAGTCTTACGTGTTTTTTTTTTTTTTTTTCTTTTTCTGGGGGTTAATCGCTTTGTTGCGTATTCTTATAGACCATCAAGAATTACACATGAGATGAACATATGAAGAGAAAAATTAATTAATAAAATAAAATCTTAGTCAATACAACACAAAATAAGCAGTTAATGAGAATCGACTCCTTATTAAGTGGGGATATTCCAAGTTACTATTCCATCTGTTCTAAAATTATCGTCGGATTTAAATTTTTCTTATTAGTTTAATTTATACTAAAAATAAAAATTCAAACTAGATAATAATTTTAAGACGGAGGGAGTAGTAATCATTGTATGGGGCACCGACCCCAAGTCATTTGCTCTAATAAATTTTATAATTTCTGTAGATATTTCCCTTTCATTAATAGGTTAAGAGCAAAATGGCGGCTGGTCGACCTCAAAAAACCCAATATATTATCATTTTTATTGATAAATTTCAAAAAAAAAAAAAAAAGACATAGGCAATCAAATTGAGGTACGTAATTGACCGGAGGTTGTTCAATGAATGAATGAAGGCAGCTTAGGTTATTGACCTGGTCTTCTGCCACTCAACATCGATTGACAAATTATCAAGGGAAAAAGGGCACACAACATTATTGAAATGACTTTTCCTTATGGAAAAAAGATTTCTATTGTGAAAATGATATCTCAATTAACTTTTGTTCCCTTGCTGATAGGGAAGTTTTAATTTGAACGTCCACACATTCCACATGGATACTTCTTGCTTTTGCAAATTGGCTAGTCTACCTTTGTTGCATGTGGATATTAATAAAAATTAATAATTAAAGCCACATAAAAATATCCATACTAAGAAGTGTTTAATTGGTCCAAAAATTATTGTATCATTCTTTGTAAAGATTTTGCCAAACATGACATATGTATTCATCCATCCTATATTAATATTTCACTTTTTTGAACTATATATGATATAATAAGGATTGAAAGGTATTATGACAACAATATACTAATTTAATAACTTTAGGGTGTATCAAGCCCGTCTTTAACTCTAGGAAAGCCTAAGGAGTAAAAACAATAAGGAGATGATTCTTTCACGTTGATTTCAAGGTTCGTAATGTCAACAATGATCTGAAATTCAAATATCATACAACGATGCATGTAGCAGTTCGAATTCAAATTAATCAGAAAGTAACTCCAACAAACTGGATGGCCGTAATATCCCAAAAATGTTTGTACGATGATGTGCATTTCAGCGCATAATGTACGTACTAGCTAGGAGTAACAAAATGCGGTCTACAAAAAGCGGTCTACTAGCTAACTCTCTCCCTGGATTCATTTCCATATGAGAATTTCACATAAAAGTTCCAAAAGGGTTGATTAATTAAGAAACTTTCTGTAGAATTTTTGTGAGAATCAGGTTAATTACAAAAGTAAGGGATGAGAATCTATCTTATCTATTAATAGCCCTTGACGAAGGTCCTGCTGAATCTTGTAGCCACAGTATCTTCAGAGTTGTTCAATCATAAAATGTCTTTCTTTTTATTTATTTTTTTGGTCCCCCTGATGAACAAATTCCTGCATATATCCCCCTGATCCTGGGAATGCGATGTTCTCTCCATCCGTTCCAGCCTGGAAAAATTATATATGCTTTTTTTTCTTTTTTTCTAATCGCTTAATTCCAGTTTCACTCAATGGCCAATCAGGAAAAAAGAAAAAAAAAATCCTGTTGATCTGATGTGAAGCCTCACTTGTTGATCACTTTCACATATGCATTACCATCGGTTCCACAGTCAATTCCTAAGCCCTATGATTTGGATGATTGTGCATTGTTCAATATCAAATACTTTGGAGGTTCTGCTTAACTGTGTTGTTGCAGAAATGCGTAAACAATCGTCCCTGCTGTGTCATTGACCATAAATAATGCGCAATTTTATTGCAGCTTTCATCTTAATTTGTTATATTACACGTCCAACAAGTATTTAGATCACTACTGCATGCCCATTCTCGAACTTGATTACGGATTGTAGTTAAACTGTCTCAATACATTTACCACTTGAACAAAGTGCTGGTTGATTGTTTCAGCTTAATTACATATGTCGGTTTCTTTTGGTTTTTTAAGCCTCGAGAAGTGACCAACCAAGTGGTCTAGGCCCAACAACCAACTGGGACTAGGATAGGCACCAAGTTAGACAGGCTCACAGGCCGGTTAGAGTTATACACCAGTTTGGGTTTAAAGGAGAAATGATTTCTCCTCCCTTTCTTTCAAGAGAGTTGCAAGAAATTTTATCTGTTTTTCCCCAACTTTGCCCTCATTTCAAGATCAAAATGTAACCATGTAAATATATAGTCACATCATTACATCAAATACACTTTCATAAAAACCTAGCATGAGATAAATTTTCATATCTGAGAGTATCATCATTGCTCTAATTAGCCCTGAGAAATATTGGCATTTTGTGACTTTTGAAAGAATTTGTTGAAACCATCATGCATGATCAACAAGCAGGTTTCTTTTTTCAGCCTGCAACTTGCTAGAAGAAAAAAGAATGGACCACCAGAGATAAACAGGGAAAAAAATTCTGAAAAGATTTTGAAAGAGAAAGGATAGGTATATATAATCAGCATAGTACATTATCCTGGGGAAGTGATCAAGGATGATAAGGAATCATATATCAGTAACAGAGTGTATCTCTATTTGAAGTATCTGTCACTTTTTTATGCAATCTTCCACTGAAAAATTCGTGGAACTCACTTTCACCAAATACATGAAAAAAGCCAACCATACTTCAGGCAAGTGCTCAGAGAACCATGGCCAAACAATTTCTTGTCAATGTTGAATTCTCGGATACTCTCTATCAGATAGGGAATATTTATCTAACTTCCTAAATTACGTATTGAGCCATTACAACCAAATTTAGAACTCCAATTCCTGATGTAGAGTTCATCAAAATGTTTGTTTCAGTAACCGCGACCATTGCACGACATTCCAATTGCTGCATCATATTAGTATAAGAAAATTGCAGTGTTTTGCAGATATAGTGATGAATTTATCATATTTTTTCCCCATGCAGATATTTTTCGCTACAATGTTAGATGCAAGTAGCACTCGCTCGTGTTTGATTCGATAACTCGGACGTCAACTGCTTTAAGAATACTAGAACGGTGCGTTAGGCAAATTTTCTGTCACAGATTGTTTAGTTATTATTCACTCATGTATTAATGATGTAAAGTTGCTGAATCCTTAAGAGTCTTTGTCGTGTGTAGAAGAATCGATATGGAATAGAAGACCACAATCCTAGTTGCTATAATAGGGCCAGGGGAACAGAAAATTAGTCTGAAGCTTTTCCAAGACACACAGAACTAATATCCACAAAAGATGAATTTTTACTTACATATCCAGTATCCACTATGATTGATACGGATTCCATATCACAACAGTTTTAAGAGCATCTCTTTGAATGATTGGCCAACAATTTTTCTAGTCTAAAAGGTTTGTCACAAGTTGACATCAATTATACAATTCTGTTCTTCAATCTATATGGATTTCCAATGAGCAAGGTAGAGGAAGACAACCATTTCTGTTCTTCAAACTATATGCATGGCTTCAATCTTCATTTCTGGCATCCTTAAACTGTCAATCTATTTGTGCTAAAAGCTGATAAATCTCCAAATAGCATGGTTAATTATTCCTACATAGGTGATCATTTTAGGCAAACACATTTAGAAGGGTAAAGTTCAATGTCTAAACGATTACGGCGAAAATTACTGCTAGCTGTTTCCATACACAGCCAGCTTGATTTAACTCTAAGAAAAATTGCTGACAAATGAATCAAAACTTTGGCAACTTTCACCCTCAAGATTATCTTTTTATTTTGACTTGGACCCCACAGGGAATGAGATGTAAGCAGACATGGCAAGGCGAAAAATTAGGAAAGGAATCAGCTTTTCTTAGGTAAAGAGCGGTGCCTTTGTCTGGATTAGTCATGTTTTTCATGGTTTAGTCCCATGTTGTAACTCCCAACTTTCACCAGGAAGTAAGGAAAAAACACGTCGAATTCGACCGAAATTCCCCTCATCTTCAACAAAAAAAAGCATCATTTTCATCATCAAGATGAGGTGAAAAGCGGCTCTTTTGGCCCACCAACACAGCATCTCTTCTTGCCCTGGGTTGCTATAAATACATCAGCCATTCTAAGCTCATTACTCAACAAACAACAGCGACAAACAAAAAACACATTAATCCCTTTCCAAATTCCCTTCTTCTTGCAACTTTTGCAGTAAACAAACAGCATCAAAATGGCCTCAAACGGGTCGACATGGACGGCTAAGCAGAACAAGCTGTTTGAGAATGCATTGGCAAACTTTGATAAGAACAGTCCAGACAGGTTTCATAAGCTGGCCAAGGCTGTTGGAGGCAACAAGACTGTGGAAGAAGTGAAGAGGCACTATGAAAAGCTGGTTGAAGATGTCAATCACATTGAATCTGGTAAAGTACCTTTGCCCAACTATGGCAGCAGCAACCAGGGATATCAGTACATGGATGAGGCACAAAGGTAACATTTTCAATAAAAACAATCTTTTGTGTTTGCATAATTAGCCATGCAACGTGCCCTTTTCGGTCTAATAAGGTCCATCACTAATGTCAAGAAATGAATTTCATGATCAAAGACTAAATCTTTAATCTTTTCCCTATATGTTTTGCAGGATGAAGTATCTGAAGCTGCAGTAAATTAAGGAAGCAGAAGAAGTTGCAGAACTTTGACCTATCCTTTGCAATAAATTTCTCTAAGAAGTATGGATCTGTAGGAAGATTCCATTCCTTATGATCATACATATGTAATTCAGTTTATCTTTATGTTGAGTCGGTGTAATTAATTATGCATGTAGTTATCTAAAGGTCACTTTGAGCAGTGACTGTTTTCTTCATTATCAATTTATCATGTTCTCGATCCCTGGTTTTAATGAATGAATATATAAAATCCTCAAACCATAACAAGGAGGCAATGGATCTGTTGCAATTTCACTTGAAAAAAAAAAGGAAGAAAGGAAAAAAAAAAAAAAAGAAAAAAAAAAGAGAAACCTGTTCCCAACTACTAAAGAAACTAAAAGAACTGCTACTTCTGAAACTCTCCCCATGCACATGCATGCTTAACTTCTGGTGATTGACTTGGTAAATCTAGCAGCACCCTCCAGACCCATTAACAAAATAAGGGCTAAATTATGAACTGTATTTCCCAAAGAAGAGATCTGGTATAATTTTTCAGGATCACTTTGACATCCAATAATAGTGCATTTCATGGAGTCCCAACAAGAATCCAGATCGAGATTCCGGCCAAAAAGAATCAACCCACACCATTCCTTATGAATTTCATAGCAAAGTTTTACTGTCTAGTATATTGTTACTCATTCTAAATATATTCACGTCCTTTTTGGTTAATTGATGACTCTTTCTTGATATATATTGAAACTTTTCCAAAATACCAACCCCAGTTTCTTTGATATCTTCTTCCTTGTTATTAAGGAGCCAAGACAACTTCATGACTCTAGATTCAAGAATCATTTAGGCTAAGATTTTGATTGAACATGTGTTTGAAGCTATTTTTGTTTTTGTCTCAAACTAGAAATCATCCAAGAATAATAGTTACAGTCACGGAACTAAAGATCTTGTAACATTCAAAAGTACATTGAACATAGGATTTGAGATCTCAACTATTGTTACAACATTAACTTAAAATGATTAAGGCAGGCTACCTAGAGTAGAGGACTCAAGGAATACATTCTACAGAACTTCCTTAATCAGTTTCTCCGTAAGAGCAATTGGCAGTCCCATCACACTATCTGTGGTTCCCACCTGCCAAAAGCATAGGAAAAAGACGTGTTTTAGTAAGCAAATTCAGTACCAAAAACATTACTTGGATGAAACCGATGCCTGCCATGTTCGTTGAAACTAAATTAAAATCAGATGAAGAGACTAACCACTTCCTTAACATATGGCAATATCAGTGGATGTTCAATGATCAGTGCCCCGGCTACATACAGCACATCTCCCTCCTCTATCTGAGAAACAAAAAAAAGGGAAACAACACGAAGGAATTAAGCACATTTGCATATCCATCATATGACAAGAGTACACAGTCAACTGCAGAAAGATTCTCATACCAAACTGTCTATCACTTGCTTCGGTATGTCCTGAAAGTGTATCTGCAAAAGTTGAATGGTGTAAACACATTACATGATTTCAATTTTCAAGCAAAGTACCTCAAACAGTGATGTAAATAGTGTTAGAAAACATGAAGATAAAGAAGAGGAGAAAATCTCATGAAAGTCATTCGATTCACACATGCACTTGATGCGTTTGATAGTCTTATAATCAAGCAGATTTGAGAAATAATGGATGCTATTAATTGATTTCTGCCAACTTCAAAAGCTTCCTGGCTTACAGTTGGCGGTCTTAAACCAAACTTTACATTTCAAACAGTGTAAGGATATTCAAATTGCAGCATGCAAGTACACACTACAATTAAATTATAACAATACCTCTACTTTGTCCCAGTCCCGCTTTCTCATTCCTGTCTTGAGGTTAGTTACAACAACAGAACTTACAGTAGCACAGTGTCCCCCAGAGTAACCTGCATCATTACCACTTAAAAGTTACCATAACAGTGGTATTATTACAAGGAGGATTGGGAAAAGGTGTTAAGCATACCTTCAATGAACTGGCGCGCTTCGTCTTTGCTTGAAGGTTTTTCCCTAACCACACCTTCATAGACCACCACCTCGTAATCATTTCAATATAGTGGTAAGATTAACCGGATGATTTCCCTCTTTTAAGTTTTAATTATTACTAAAGTAACAGTCAATGTAATGGATAACAATACGAAAGGCATGCCCCGCCACCTAGAAGCCAAATATGGCTGAGGATATAAACGACTAAAAATGGAAAAAAGACATAACTCTACCTCTATGTTTACTACTTTTGTCCAGAAAGAAACTAACCTAAATGCCATCTTTTCTAAAAGACAACTTCATTTTCTTCTGAAGTTGCTACTCCATGAATTTAAGGTCAGACGTATACCATGCACAGGTAAAGTTATAGATTCACAAGGTAGGTAATCTCTTTCCTTTCAAGATTCGGAACAAAAAATTCATTTTTTGGTTTTCATTTGTATGGCAAGACAAACACGCAAGTACAGCTCAACATGACATATGGAAAATGGAATCAACAAAATTACGCACAAGTACAGCTCAGGTAACGAGAAATTTTACCAGAACAACATGCAGAACATAAGAAAGTAACAGCAGAAGCAACACACAATCAACAAAACATATTTTTATACAACAAAAAGTTCATGGAGACGTATTATACTTGGTCACAAGTAATAAGAAGCCTTGGTTCAGCATCCTCTTTGATTTCGTCAAGTGCAAGCCTTGGTATAATAGCTTCTGCCTAGAGAAAGCAATTCATGAAGCCAAAACGGAAAGAGATAGGTAAAAAGAGAAGATTCAGGCACAACTATATTAAAGTAAAAGCTGCCTACAAAAGGTATTAATTCATTAAACTAACCTAGAATCCTTGAGTTACATTCACGTATGGTTTGAATTCTTCCTCAAATCAGAAAATCATTTAAGAGTACCTAACTAACCCTCGAAGAAACAAGTTTCCTCTAGACCTAAACAAGAGTAAAAGTACAACTATAGAAATCGACCAATAAAATATCCTCAACCAATGATGGCACCAGGCGATGGGGCATGCTATAAATTCACTATCACAAATGGGGAACATCAGGATTGAGGAAAAAGGATAACTACATACTGTGTCTGCAGCAATCAGAATGGTGGGTTTTTCATCCTTCTCTGGGTTTTCATTACTTCGAAACTTTGATAAAATGGCATCTGCCTGAGATGCGATGCGACGCAATGCTACTTAGACCAACACAATTAAAAAAATTTACCCAAAAATAAACTCCACAAGAAGGCCAAGTTGTAAACTTTAAAGTTTATAAACCAATAAATTATACATTTTCTATGCATCTTTAACACCGCAAATTCCAAGTCCAATAGAAAAAGCTGTCCTATTTTCACCAACAATTTTAGGTTAATCAGAAAGACTTTACCTTTGCTTCGGCAAGAGTCACGACCAACTCTTCCGGCTTCTCTTTCCTTATGGCTTTCTCGTCTATATCCGCCGACTAAACAACCAAAACACCCAAAAAAATTAACAAAAATACGCCGAAATTTACAAATTAACAGCAACCATTAGCAAGAAGCTACATACCATTGTCGTGAATTCATATCCCATGTCAGCTAAAATCTTTTTCCGGGCAATCGAGGATGATCCCAAGATCACCTGAAACCGATAAAGGGTTTTTTAACTTCAAAATTCAAAGAAAAAACGCAACTAAAGAAGTATTCCTAATGTTTACGAGAAGGACACAGAAATGCAAGACCTTGAATCCGGAATTGGGCCTCGTTTCCATGATTTCTGGAAAAACGACGGCTATTCACAATCTTCAATTCTACAGTGCATTAACACTCCAACAGTGAAGAGTTTGCAGTATTTATATGGTGGACTTGGAACAGATAATAGTGAAACACGCCCACTGTTAGAACACATGTTGGGCTAATTTCTAAATAACAAGCCCAATAAGTTTGGGACAAATTTTATTACCACACTAGTGATGCCCAATTGCCCACTAGACGACTCCCTTAATAATTGATCAAATTTCCCCCTTTTTTTTTTGAAATAATTACTACAGATTGAATTTTTAAATTTATACTAAAAACAGTACAAAACTCAAAATTCAATATGAACTATTTTTTTGGGACTGAGATAGTACTTTTGCTTTTGTGTAGTTGAAATTTGAGGAGTGTCACTTTTTTTATCTCTTATTATCATACCTTACCTTAGTTCACTTTGTAAAAATACAGACTTTAATTTGGGTCAACTCAATTAAAGGTATAACTATTACATTATCCACAAATGTCAAGTTGTGCTCCCATTTAGTTTGTTTTCGACTTAAATAGTTTCTTATCTCCATTTTCGTTATGATAATATTTTGATCATTCTTTTTTTTTATATATAAGGTGGAAGCAGTTCTGCTTAATGTACAAAAGGATTACACTACCCTCAGATAAGGAGACGATGATCCATGTAACAAAAGGCTACTATGTAGCTCACCAGTGGGATTTGTTAAAATATAAAACCCACAATTTAAACCTATATTCCTTTTTGCTAAAAGATCCGCTACACTATTGCACTCCCTAAAAACATGCCTTATATCTACCCTAAAAAAACATGCCTTTTTTGCCTTATTTTGATCATTCTTAATAAGATAAATTTTGATTTTCATGAAACTGAAACGGTTGTGGGAGAATTGGTGTGGTGTGATGTGAATATGATAATAAGAAATTCGGAAGTTAATGCAGAATGCACCAGGTGGGCTTTCATTTTATATTGAACTTGCTCTGAAAATGACAACACGATCATGTTCAATTTGAGGTGGATTTTGGTTTTCATTCATTATAAAAAAAAAAAAAAAGTAAAATATTTTGGAATATGTATTGATTTCTAGTGAATTTTTCAATTTTCGTCTCAACACCTGTGAAATTCATTAACATCGTCTTTATTAAGATATACTCCTATAAGCCTAAGAATCTACTCCTTCCATTTTAAAATATACTATGTCGTTTTAGCGTTTGGTAAATTTTTTTAAATATATGTTGTTTTCACAAATCAAATCATATTTAACCATTTTTCACTAATGTTACTTGCGTTAGAAATGAAACATTATTTATAATAAATTATTATTGGTTTGTTATGAGGTGTATAGAAAATAGATGAGCGTGTTTTTGTATTTTAAGTATATTAATTAATGTTTTCTTAGTTTTGATGAATTTTCTAAAAAGACATATAATTTTTTTTTATTTTTTTTTGAATAAAGAGAGTACTAAATTCATGGAAAACAGATTATCTGTATTTTTTTCGTTTACACATAAAGATGAAAGATCTGATTAGTTAGGTATGGCCCACTGAAAATGCTAATTGGGCTGGAGGAGGCGGGTCGGGTCAACCATACGAATGGAATATTGGAATGTTTTACTTTTAGGTTCATATTCATAGCTCTCGTAAGAAACTGGCCCGCCTTTGGAACTTTCATATTTAGCTACAGAATTTTGCTGTCGTCATTGAGTTGACTGTTTGGTGTAATTAGAATTTTGCAGATATTAATCAGTGATGATGAGAATTTCGGAGATTTTAGAAACTCAATTACTACAAAGGCAAATGGTGGCAGAAGAAATTTCAAAAGTGGGCATAACAAAACAAAAAAAAACACACACACACACACACACACACACACATACCATACACTAAATATTCATACTTTCATCGTCCGAGAAAAAAGGAAAATAATTAGTACAGACAGTATTATGTGTTTCAGACCAATGATTAGAAAGTCAAAGCCCCCTCCATCATCGTTCACGTGTTCACAAATTAATCAGCTCGGATCAACATCTTGTTCATCAGTAGTCAGTAGTTTAGCAGATAAACACATTTGATAAAAATGACAGATAATCAGGCATTATCTTCCCAATCCATACGTTGAAAATTTTAAGATAAATGCTTAAACAAATTCAAAGTTACGGATTTTTCCATCTTTGGTGTTCCGTGAAATTTCCATCTACTAGTTTGTCAATTGTTTTTTAACGTAGGCAAAAATTGAAATAGTACTACAAGTGAATGATGGAATCATGACAAAATATATATGGGTCAAAATCCAGAAGGGGTAAAAAATAGATTACGTGTGCTCACGGATAATGAATTCATAGTTTCATTTCGTGTGTGTGGCATGCATGATTATACACGCATGTGATTTCATCGTATATTTTCTATGTATCTATCATTAGTCGTAATCAGATAACCAAAATTACGAATTAGCAAGTCATAAATTATGATTTATTATAATTTCAAAAAGCCTAATGAAGCAAAAGTTTAAGTGAAAAATGAAGACTCTCATAATACGTTCAAATCTCAAATAATTGAGAATTAATGAGAGTATAATAATGATCAAAATCAATTGCATTTGACAACTCAAATTCGGCATATTATGAAAGTCAGCAGCAGACAAAGGAAGCCAGCCAGCCAGCCAGCCACAGCCTGCACGAGATATCGAACAAAAACAGTCCTTAAATAATTCCAACACCACTTTCTCCGGCTCTCTTCTTCCATCCAAAAATCTTCCCTTTTTTTCACAAGGAAAAAAAAAAGAAAAAAATCACCTCGATTTTTCCCACATTTGTTTCCTCATTGTCTTCATCATTTCCCTATCTTGCCCTCTTTTTTTTTGGGAGATTTCCACTTACCCATACGTATTCATAATTTTACTGGAATCAATTAACCGGTCCCCCCTGTCAATCAAAAAAACACACACAGTCACACACTTGTTGGGTTCTTTCTTTCTTTTTTGTAGTTTGTAGTATTTTTTTGTAGTAAAGATATAAACTTTATTCTTCTCTCTTCCACGTCCCATCCAGCCCCGGCTTCTGAATCCACAAACCCACTGCCATGGACGGAGGTGGCAATGCTCGGGACATCGGCGGCGCCGGCGGGAGTGCCACCACCACCGGCGGTGGTGGGACGGTGGGTGTTCAGATCCAGCCCCAGCCCAGCAGGCGCCTGCCGGATTTCTTGCAGAGCGTGAATCTCAAGTACGTTAAATTGGGATACCACTACTTGATCTCTCACTTATTCACACTCTGTCTTGTTCCTCTAATGGCTGTTATTCTTATCGAAGCATCCCAAACCAACCCGGATGATATCCGCCAATTGTGGCTCCATTTGCAATATAATCTTGTCTCTGTAATTATTTGTTCCGCTGTTCTGGTGTTCGGGTCAACGGTTTACATCATGACCCGGCCTAGGCCGGTTTATTTGGTGGATTACGCTTGTTACAAGGCTCCTGATCACCTCAAGGCTCCATATGGTAGATTTATGGAGCATTCCAGGCTTACTGGGGATTTTGATGAATCCTCCCTTGAGTTTCAGAGGAAGATCTTGGAACGTTCTGGGCTTGGGGATGATACTTATGTCCCTGAAGCCATGCATTCTCTTCCTCCCAACCCTTCTATGAAGGCAGCCAGGGAGGAAGCAGAGCAAGTTATGTTTGGGGCTTTGGATAATTTGTTTGCTAGTACTAATATTAAACCCAAGGATATAGGCATTCTTGTTGTGAATTGCAGCTTGTTTAATCCCACGCCTTCCCTTTCTGCTATGATTGTCAATAAGTATAAACTGAGGGGTAATATTAGGAGCTTTAATCTTGGGGGTATGGGTTGTAGTGCTGGAGTCATTGCTGTTGATCTTGCTAAGGATATGTTGCTAGTCCATAGGAATACTTATGCTGTTGTTGTGAGTACGGAGAATATCACTCAGAATTGGTATTTTGGGAATAAGAAGTCCATGTTAATTCCTAATTGCTTGTTTCGAGTTGGGGGGTCTGCGGTTTTGTTGTCTAATAAGTCAGTAGATAAGAGAAGGGCCAAGTATAGGCTTGTTCACGTTGTGAGGACGCACCGTGGTTCGGATGATAAGGCATTCCGTTGTGTCTATCAGGAGCAGGACGATGCTGGGAAGACGGGTGTTTCTTTGTCGAAAGATCTCATGGCGATCGCTGGTGATGCACTTAAGACTAATATCACCACATTGGGTCCCCTTGTGCTGCCAATCAGTGAGCAGCTTCTGTTTTTCGCTACTTTGTTGCTGAAGAAGTTGTTCAAGAAGAACATCAAGCCTTACATTCCTGATTTCAAGTTGGCATTTGATCACTTCTGCATACATGCTGGGGGCAGGGCTGTGATTGATGAGCTGGAGAAGAATCTTCATTTGTTGCCCGAACATGTTGAGGCTTCCCGAATGACTCTCCATCGCTTTGGGAACACTTCGTCAAGCTCCATTTGGTATGAGCTTGCATACATTGAGGCCAAGGGAAGAATCCGCAGGGGTCAAAGAATCTGGCAAATCGCGTTTGGTAGCGGTTTCAAGTGCAACAGCGCTGTATGGCAAGCACTTCGGCATGTAAAGCCGTCTCCAAATGGTCCTTGGGAGGACTGCATTGACAAGTATCCCGTGAAAGTTGTTTCATAGCTGAGAAGCACATAACAACAATGAGCTTAGCGCTTTCAGAGAGTTTGATCATCCACTATTCTTCCTCTTTCTTTTGTTCCATTTTTGGTACTGGTATAATTATTAGTCATGTAACAGGGCCGGTTTTTTGCCTCTGTCCCAGTGAATTAGCATTTGTGTTGGATAATTGGGTTGCTCATCTCCTGTTGTACTATATTTTGTTCAAGGTTGTATTGTCTTTGTCGGGTAATCTCTACTGCAATTTGTTTCATTTGTTCAGCTTCTCTGACACTTAATTGAATAGAATATTTGAAGCTAATCGAAATTGAATTATTGGTCCATCCCCATAGTCGTACAAAAATTGTGTTCTTTTCAGTTTTCACCGCCTCAGTTTCATTCCATCAGTCTTAGTGTTTTTCCTTTTGCAAGTTAACCAATTTGGCATTTAAAATCTTAGTGGAGGATTACTGAGTTTGAAAAAGAATGAAATGCAATTGTTGTACTGGAAGTTTGTGGAGCTCTCGATTTCACCTTTCAATGATGGAGAATCTTGACATCTTAGGGACTCAGCTTTGAAAAGAACAATTTGGCCATGCATGCATTAAAGACCCCTTCTTTTTTTCCCCCTCTTACCCAAATGGCCATATTTGTTGAAAAGAAAGATCCCGCAAACAGAGTCTGATTCTGATGTAAAAGATCCGCGATTCGATGGCTCTTTTCCCAAGTGACGTTTCGATTGCAGATTGGGGTACTCCTTCAAAACTAGTTCATTCATTATTGTGATTGAAAAATTTTGTGCACGAACCTACATTTCAATAACCAGGTTTATGCAGGGGAAAAAAGAAGGCGTAAATGCCATTACGTTTGTGTTCAGAATATCCCCATTGCGCTAGTCTTCGACACAATGAAATACTAATCAAACATTCTCTCTCCATGATTCTCTAAATATTTACTTTTACTGCAATCGCTCTAAATTTTCATTTCTTTCGAATATAAATTGTACTCCTTGAAGGTAAAAAAAAATTCAAAGTGAACAATTATTTTGGAATATCGGGAAAAAATATCTTTTTAAATTCAATCGTTGTCCATTTACAGAATTCTTGGTAAGACTGTACATTCTTAAAGTAGAAAGTTTTACCAAGACACTTCATCAATCACCACTAAGCATAGCAATTAGCAAGTTGCACTTCACCTTTGGGTACTGGTTCTTGAAATAACACATCACTCACGCAGGGAAAGGAATACATAATACATTTTCCGTAGAGTAAAAGACGCTAGAGTAAAGTACCATTACAATAGCAATTGGAAATTTTTGTACCCTTTTTTTTTTTTTTTCTAAGATCAAGATTCTTGTAGAAGGACGCATTAAAACGACCAAGGTAATAGAAATAAATCTCGGGGTATACAAAATTGGCTAACAAAAGACGCGGATGCTTTTAGCAAATATTATTATACAGTTTTGATTTGACTCAAAAGAAGCTCTGGGAATCCTCCGTTTATTGCTGGTGTAAAAATAATCAGGCAACACCAAAGAAAAGGGCCACTACACAACAAAGGTAAAAACCTGCAAAATGAATATGAAGGCACCACCCCCACTACAACAACAACAACAACACGTATGACGAACAAAAGTAGCATTCCGATGATAGAGCTACTATCTGAAGGAGAATTGGATTTCCTCTAGGGTTTTTCCTTTGGTCTCGGGAAGCAACATCGCTGTGAATACTAACGCAAGAGCAGACATGACCATGTAAAGCACAAATGTCGCTGGTAATGGAACAGAAAATTAACGATCAGTGAAAAAAAAGGGGGGGAAAAAAAGAAAGAGAAGACTATCTCTTTGACTGTAACCAGTTCAATAGCTGATTCAGTTATAACAAGGTAAAATGTAGCATTGAAGAAATCTTAACTTCAAACAGATACGGAACTTGAAGAACTAACATATTCTGAAATTTGGAAAGACGGGTAACAATAATAAATAAACACAAAAATTGACCTCATGCAGTAAGACACATACCTCCACTACTCCAAGAAAGTAGTAAAGGAGCTGTCATTGTTATTGCCCAGGAAATGAACCAGTTTGACAATGTTGCTACACTTCCAGCAAGACCTTTGATTTTCACTGGGAGAATCTGCAATATTAGATACAAGAAATAAGTATCCCGAGACTAAATTGCTTCCACTGGTTAAACTTTTTCTGTGAAGTAGACTATTTTGCCAGTAATTGTCTAAATTGTTCGTCAAGGTAAACGATCTCCCTTGTCCACGACACAATAGATTTTAACTGGTTCACAATCTTGTCCACTTCCTCAAAAACTTCTAAATAAGTTAAACATCATCACACTCCATATCACTCTTGTGGAAGATATGTACAAGTTTCAGGATTTGACAAGAATTCCAAAGGTGACATGTCTACTATGATTTGTCAAGAATAGAAATGGAACTCTTTTCAAAGAAGAGACTTTTGAAAAAACTCATGTAGGCAGAAAGAGACAACTAAATATTTAAAGGAAAAGAAGCTAACAAAATTAGCAAATTTCTGCAACAAAATTTAGTAACGACCTTCAAGTGCTATCTAATCTATCAAAATTTAAAAGAAACCAGAGAGCCACTTTGTAAAAGAAGACAGATATCAGAGTCGAGATGCAAACAGTAGAAAATTACAAACATGAGTACCTCAGACATTATGATCCAAGGGACGGGTCCCATTCCAAGTGAAAAGAAAATGATCATCAACTGGAAGAAAAAATTGGGTCAGACTGAGAAAGAAGCTTGAGCAATAAATATCCAACAATGTTCAATTGATGCGAAAGCCTACCACAACTCCAACAACAGCGAGTATACTGGATATACTGTGAAGGGTAGAATCCTTGGATACAAAATCCTAAAAAGAACAAGAGAAACAAAGGGTGATCAAGCACGGGTGAAGTAGGGAGAGAAAAGTACTTGAAGCAGCAGAATAATTACTAATCTTTTGAGAAAAGCACTATTGTTTCTTGCACCTTCACAAAGAACGATGCAGCAACTAGTAGGAGACTAACAGACATCCCAGAAGAGGAGATCTGCAGAAATATTCGATCTGTCAAATTCACAGGCAAGACAAAGATCACATGCACACTTCATTTTGCTCTGACTTACAATGAGCAGAAGCCTACGCCCAGCTTTGTCCACCAACCATGTAGCAACCGCAGTGGCAACAACCTATCCAGTATACATCATGCTTTTTAGAACGTCTATATTGGAAATATCAGACACAACAACTAACAATGCCAACATGTGGGGTTGGTTATCGTAAATATGACTCCAGATCAACCGTCAACCTTCACCCAGGCAACCATAACAGAAAGAAAGGAGGGAATGGATATAGAAACACAACAAACAAGCAATATGAGTACAACAACTTGTGGATTAACAAAGTTAAGCTTGAACATAGTAAGTTAACAGAGGTTACCTGGACAACACCAACCCCAAATGTTGCAGCATTGCCAGATGAAATTCCTGTAAGGCCAATAAATTAAAACATTAAAATTGCAGTCACGCTTATGCTTTTGTGAGATTTACATTGGTGAAATAAACAATGATAAATCCTTCGTCGAACACAGAGAACCAAAGTTTTGCATCACTATGTGTAACCAAACTCTAAATTGGGTGCACAATTTCTTTTTGTCAAATCACAAGAAGTAATTTTCAGGATAAACAAGCGATTGAGTACCAGCAGATTCAAAGATGCTGGTGGTATAAAATAAGACACCATTTATTCCGCTTAGCTGCTGTAGCATTAACAATCCAATCCCAAGCTGCCATAAAGGGATAAAAAGATGATGAGAACCTTTGTGAAAACATGATGCTCCCTTGTGAGGAAAAGGAGAAAAGAGGTTGACACAAAATTTGCTCACCATTAGAGGAAACCAGTATCTTTTTTGTTTGAGATCTCCAAAACGAATAGCTGTTCTTCTGCTTGTTGATGCTACAGACCTCTAACAAAGGTAAAATAATACATTTCATAAGAAATCAGAGAATGCCCAAAAGATAATATTTAAAACATTCTACCGGCAAAAGCAAGCTCAAGCCAAGATCCGTGACATGTGCTCCTTACTGCCACTTAAAAGAAAAATCTATCCATGCATCAGTTTTCATAAGCAAATTACTTCAGCGGTTGAAAAAGATTTACCTTGATTTCGTTTACTTCAAGAGAAATATCAGTATCAAATCCCCGAAGGACTTGCAAAGAAGCTTCAAAATCATCTGTCATTCCCATTTTTGCCTAAAATTTTGTAAACGTCTGCATTAGCTGCTATAACTACACATACCACAAGAACCTGGAAAAAAATATGCCATTTTAGGGTGCTTACCAACCATCTAGGAGATTCTGGGATGAAAAACAGACCAGGTATCAAAGCCAGACAAGGTAATGTCCCTGTTAAATGCAAGAAGATGAAAGTTATAAACTTGGAAAATCAAATTCAAAGAAAATAGAAATGTTAACCTCCTTCTTGATCAGTAACTACAAACTACTACTTCATCAACCTCCTAGATTTATAACTACTACGATAACTCCTAACATAGTGCAACTAGAAAGGTAACCTCAATGTGCCTACACACACTGATTTAAATTATTTTTAATTCATTTTTGTGTATTTCTGGTCCAGCAAAATGAATTTGTCAAGTGTCATCCAGGGAAAGGAATTCATCGAATACATATCTATCAACGTGATAACAAGATCTGCAGAAGATTACCCAGAACAGCAAGTGCTCTCCAATTGCAGAAAAGTCCCAGCAGATAAGCCAGCATTATCCCAATCGTTACAGAGAGCTGCATCAAACCCCAAAGAGGTAAACATAACCCGACGAAAGTTTTGAACTTGTAAACGTTTTGGTCTAAGAGAAGAGGGATTTAGCAAACCTGGTTCACTGAACCCAATGAACCTCTCATATTTTGGGGAGCTATCTCTGCGATATATACAGGTACCTAAAATTAAATCCAAAAGAAGAAGAAATATCCAATCTCAGTTGTCCAGCCTCAACTCAGATTAGAAACAATTGAAAGATCAAAGTCATTACCGTGTAAGAGATTATTCCCACTCCGAAACCCTCCAATAACCTTCCCATGTACAAAAATGACACATCCTAAGCATGGTAAACAAAATCAAATGTATTACCAGCAGTTTGAGGACCAGCAAAGATATCAAATACAGAGGGGGGGAAAAAAGAAAGACTTACGTGAGCAAATGAAATTGCAAGCCACCCAATGATATTTGGTACGGCAGCGATCATCAAAGACTGCATTTTGACAGAAGACTATTGGTCACTTCCGGAAACATTAGCTTCACCAAATAAAAGAACATTTAAATGTAAGAAAGCAAGAATCATACGTACCCCTTTTCTCCCAATGTAGTCTGCAATTTGGCCACTACATATTGCCCCAACCATTGCACCGACGTTTGATAGTGAACCAAATACAGAGAACTGTCATTAAATTTTAGGAAGTTAGTGGCAGTTTACAAGTGAAGCTTATACGGATCATCACTAGAATATAGTCATTAGTACCAACCTCGGACACAGTAAGCTTAAGATCCCTCATGATAGCATTTTGCGTAGGCGACGAATAACCACCCTTCCAAAATAGCAACAAAACAAGTCAGGTAATCAAACACAACAAGCTATCAAACAAAAAAATCATAATAATAATAATAATAATAAAAGGAACTACAATGGAAAATGCAAATCTTCACCCTTATGTGAAATTACTCATTACAATCATAAGTTATACTTCACCACTATTAAAATCAGATATTAACAGACAAAGGGTTGTCCTAATCTACGTTGACAAAGGGGAAACTAGCAAAATTAGTAAACACGATTGCTCTTTTGGGCAGCCAAAAAAAATTAAAGAACCAAAATGACAAAAGCAGCCAAGTGGAAATGGAAGTAAAACTAGATAAGAACTCCCAAAAAAAAAAAAAAGCAAAGATCACCGAACATTCTACCACAAATAGAAATTGAGCTTCTCAAGTAGAAGTGGAATGAGGTTTCATCGGAAAAAGTAAAAAATGGGAAGTGAAAGGAGCAATACGGTGAAGCCAAACTGGATAGGACCCAAAGCAACGATCATAACACAAGCAACAACAGAAATTGAGCTGTCCCTAATAGCCTGAGATGAACCCATCATGCTTGACTGACGAGAACCCATTCGATACCAACTCCCAGTATGCAGAAATGGCTTCCTAAGATCCCCTCTTCCATCTTCACTATCATCCCTGAAACTCATTTCTTCCTTCTTTTCTTTTGCTCCTTCTTCTTCTTCTGCTAGTTTCAACTCTAGATAGACGGAACTTCAATCCAAGTCAAAAACCCACTTCAAATTCGATAATTTTTAGGATTAAGAAATGAGAAATTTCAAAGCCAGTGATTAAGTTAGGTGATTGAGCAAAGACTGGGAGTTGAATCGCAGATGAGGAAGCAAAAGAGAGAAGAAATTAAGGTACGGATATGACTTCTTAGTTGTCAGTGAAAGGGAATTAGGCGGAACTCGATAAAGATGAAAGGTTAAAGATGTCATTTCGACCCTGTCAGCCAGAATGTCCAAATATTAAAACCACGTGTAACATTTGGTTTTAACAAAAACACAAGGGCCCGATATTCCGTATAATTTGAAGAAAATAATAAATGATAGAAATGTAATCCATTAATATATGGACTTCTTGGTCTGATCTCCCGACCCTATTGATCCCAGCAATATCGTCAGCACAAGAACAAGCCTCTAAAGCAAATTATCCATATTATTCTAAAAGTACTCTCATCTGAGTCAAACAGAAAACTTTTCATTCCTTAGTACCTAGTAAACCCAACCTATTCGCTGACCGACATTAACGCTGCTCATGTCGGAGCTTCAAGAACTAAATCAAACTCTGCCTCCAATAATCTAATGATCCTCGTCCTCGTGAATCTTTTTAGCCCCATCACTAATAACCTACATCCTCCCTAAGCTTCCTTGCGGTAATCTTTTGTCAACCTTTTTTTCCCATAAGTCCAGATGACAGAGGTGATTCAGAAGCCGTTGCCAAGTGGCGTAAATATGGAAGTGCAGCTATGGTGACCCGAGGTTTATTGCCCACCATAGTGCCATTGCTTGTAATAACTACTACACTGCATTGAACCCATAAACCCAATATTCATGGTCACCACAGTTTACTAAAATAAAATATCAATTATAATTTAATCCATTAACTCCATAGTCTCTGAACAAAAGATCTACAAATCACATTAAATTAGTAGTTCGTCAGGATTTCCTGTAATTGATTTGTTAGCCTAATTCAGACCACCAAAGGTGTTGTAATACCAATTATCTGTATCTTTATATAGTTTATGGACTGAGCATATATATTATCGAAACAAATATAATAAATGTGAAGATTTCTATGCAAATAGATGAGTAAAAAAAGTAAAAATAAATAATATTTGTTGGCTTATGAACATCAGTGGCTTGTTGGATCATGGACGCAGCAGCTGATGAGAATGAGAAGCGAGAGTAATGGATTAAAATTAGAACCGGAGAATTTTAGATTTATATAAGATGGGAAGGAATTTTCCATTTAACTGAAGTAAGGGCAGTTTTGGAAGAATATTAAGATTTTGATGTGGAGGTTAATATTTGTGTTGACAATATCACTACCCATTAATAAATTGTAAATTTAAAAAATTACACTTGTTTTATAAATTATTTATCGAGGAATATTTTCTTGATCAGATTTCTTTCGTTAATATAGAGGATAATTTTGATTTAAATTTAAAACAAGTGATTGTTATTAAATTTAGTCACATAAATGCTATATGATATCTATGAGATATTAGTTTTTATTCCATTTCAATAAAATAAAAATAACTATCAAAGCCTATAATAAAGCTCTAAGCCTATAACCTCAACAAAACTTAACATATTATTAAATCGGTAGCATGATTAAAGACTCACTATCCACCTATAATGATAAAGATAGTGAAAATATATAGTGAAAAGTTATAGTGAATGAGGTGTATCTACTTTTTTTTTTATTTAAAATAGTATTATAATCCCCCTATTTTGTAGTCACTTTTCTGTAGAATTTCTTTTTCCCGTTAAAAATTATATTTTTTATTCTCAATTACAATATCCACATCAGTCACTATAAAATGTCACTGTATTTTTTCACTAACTCTATTACTGCTACTTTGCCCATATGCACAATACATATATTTTCATTAACGTCTGGATGGGATGTTAACAATATACAAATTGACAAAAAAATGGGTAACAGTTGAGTTGTTATTTATTTATTTATTTATTTTTTGTAACAGTTGGAATTCCACAAAAAATGAATAAGTCCACGCCTATTACAATAGCTTGTAAATCGCAGTGGGAGGATTAATGAATTACTAATTATTATGAGTAATATAATTATAATTAAAAAAATTTGAAAGGTTATTAAGATTGTACACTATTTTCAAATGAATTGAACTTTGACTTGTAAATATTGCAAATTTTAGGGGTGGCTTTTTTCAAAGCATTTTATTAATCCTCCCACTGCGATGTTATTAGTAGGTCACAGTTTTAATTAATTTAATTTAGAATTACCTTTTTTTATTTACAGGTCTCAATTTTATTTTTTTTTTCCCTGTAACTGTACCTTATAAACGTAGGGGAGAATATGGATAGTTTTTCTTCTTCCGCTAACATCATAAAGCCGCCGTTAAATAGCGAAGTAAGAAAATCGAATAATTGTTTTTGGGAAACAAAAAGATGACGAAATAATAAGCACCAAAGTCGTCTTCAAGCTCGGGATTCTGTATATTTTCCCTAAAACCCCTAAAAACCCCAGAAAGTGTGTAATTCCCACCATGTCCCCGTCGATCTCCCCCGTCCGTATCACCCTCCTCACTCTCGTCTCCGCCACCACCCTCTTCCTCTTCTATAAATCCCGGCGCCGCCTCCTCCACCGCCTGAAAGTCCTCACAGCCCGCCCGCCCGCCCCTCCTCACAAAGGCAAACTATTTTTCATTTCCCAAACATCCACTTCCAAAACCCTAGCTCAACGCCTCCACAAACTGCTCGCCCAAAATGATCTCCCCTTTGATCTTGTTGACCCCAAAGACTACGAACCGGAGGATTTTTGTAAAGAATCGCTAGTTTTAGTCGTAGCTTCTACTTGGGAAAACGGGGAGCCGCCGGAAAATGGTGCCTTTTTGGTTAATTGGGTAAACGAGAGTGCTGAGGATTTTCGGGTCGGTGCTGCATTGCTGGATAAGTGTAAGTTTGCGGTGTTCGGAGTTGGGAGCAGGGCTTATGGTGATAGTTTTAATGCTGTTGCGAAGGGGTTGTCGGAGAAGTTGAGGAAGCTTGGTGGGAAGGAGGTTTTAGGGGTTTGTGAAGGGGATGTGGACGAGGGGGATTTAGATAAGGTGTTTGATGAATGGAGTGGGAAGGTAGTTGAAGTTTTGAAGGAAAATAGTGGGAAGTATGGGAATTTGAATGGGATTGGCAATGAGGCTAGTGATGGAGGGGAGTATGTAGATGATGATGATGAAGACTATGACGACGACGATGATGATGACAATGGGGGCTCGGACATTGTTGATCTTGAAGACTTAGCGGGTAAAGTTCCTCCAAGGAAAAAGGAGACACTGGGGGCTAAAGTTAATGGAGCAATTAATGGTGATGTATTGAACGGAAAGAAGGAAATGGTGACACCGGTAATCAGGACAAATTTGGAGAAGCAGGTAACCTATGCTTAGCATTATGAAATTATATTATATTGGATTGCTGAAAACTGGTTCCGAGTAGCGTCTGTAAATCCTCCATAACTTGGCGATACTTGCTATTTCTGAACTGAATTGTGAGTGTATCATTACCAGGGATATAAAATTATTGGATCACATAGTGGGGTTAAGCTTTGTAGATGGACCAAGTCTCAACTCAGAGGCCGTGGAGGCTGCTATAAGCACTCATTTTATGGTATCGAGAGTCACCGGTATGTTTCTTAGCTTCTTGCTTCAATGTTGATTTGGCTCACTGGATAGTTGCATGAAAATAGTTGAATATCTGATGTACTTTGGTTCTGGTTTGTCGGGTATCAATGCCGTATATCAAATCTGTAGATGTATGGAAGCAACTCCCAGTCTAGCATGTGCAAACAAATGTGTTTTCTGTTGGAGGCATCACACTAATCCCGTTGGGAAGAGCTGGCAATGGAAGATGGATGATCCTTTAGAAATTGTGGAAACAGCCATTGACTTGCATACAAAAATGATAAAGCAAATGAAAGGAGTGCCAGGTAGGATTTATGATTCCTGTTTGTTTTGATGCAAAGCACGATCACATTAGATTAGCCTGATTTGGTTTGTCAATGCTGAGGGATATGTGATTACAGCATTTCTATCTGTATAGATTTCTTTTCCATCGTCCATGTTTTACTATTGACATTTGATGTTGTTGCATATGTGATGAGTTTGTTCTGTTGAACTTGCTAACATTTGCGTACCAGAGTGGAATTGATAAGATGTCTGTCTCTGGCAGGTGTTAAAGCGGAACGCTTGTCGGAGGGTCTTGCTCCGAGGCATTGTGCCCTTTCTCTTGTAGGTGAACCAATCATGTATCCTGAGATTAACTCTCTGGTGGATGAACTGCACAAAAGGCGGATCTCTACTTTTCTAGTAACAAATGCACAGTTCCCAGAGAAGATCAAGTCACTGAAGCCTATTACGCAGGTATGCGTGTTTTTTCTTCAGCTCTTGCTGATCAACTCCTCTGTCTTGCATTTTCAATGTTGTAAAAGTGCCTGACGTTTTTCTTCTTTCGCCTAAAAATTGGTCTTCCAGTTATATGTCAGTGTAGATGCTGCAACAAAGGACAGCTTGAAAGCTATTGATAGACCCCTGTTTGGAGACTTTTGGGAAAGATTTGTTGTAAGTTCCTCCCGGATAAATCTTTTCCTTTTTCTATTTATTGCGTCTTCTTTGCGGCTTTGACCGCATCCAGATTGAGGGTGAAAGAAAGAGTTCAGAGATGAGGGAATAGGATCTTTTGTTTAATTTTCTTTAATTATACCATTGCTGTAGCTTTAGTTTAGGCATAGATTTACGGCTTGGTGCTTTCTTGAAAATTCTAACAGACAAATATAGTGGATACTATATACATACTTATTTGCCTCGTCTCTCTCTCATGGTAACTTTCTTTTGTTCCTGCTTGGCAAATTTTCCCACGAAGGCTTAACTGATATGCCTCTTTGTAGGATTCCTTGAAAGCTCTCAAAGAAAAACAGCAACGGACAGTCTATCGCCTAACTTTAGTCAAAGGGTGGAATACTGAAGATATAGATGACTATTATAACCTCTTCAGCATTGGAAATCCGGACTTCATTGAAATAAAAGGAGTTACTTATTGTGGATCGTAAGTGTCCCCAGTTGCTGTTCTCTTTTGCCATCCGCGTTACTCCCTCGGTCCTAGGGCTTTCCTTTTTTGTGTTTTTTTATCGATACAATTTATATTTCAGGACTGCCACATCAAAGCTGACAATGGAAAATGTGCCATGGCATACTGATGTTAAAGAATTTTCTGAGGCATTGTGTAAGAGAAGCAATGGAGAGTACGAAGTTGCCTGCGAGCATGCCCATTCATGCTGTGTTCTTTTGGCCAGAGTGGATAAATTTAAGGTTGATGGTCAATGGTATACATGGATAGATTATGAAAAATTCCATGACCTGGTATGTGATATTTTCAGCGTGGAATTCAGATATTTTAAGATAAGTATACATTCATGTACATTTTAATCATGGTTTAACTTCATTATCTGGAATGCAGGTGGCTTCTGGGAAATCTTTTACCAGCAAGGATTACATGGCTCCTACGCCAACTTGGGCGGTTTATGGGGCAGAAGAAGGTGGGTTTGACCCTGAGCAAACACGTTACAAGAAAGAACGGCATCACAAAAATAGCCGTTGAGCAGTTTTGTAGGCTTGGGTTTTGTACTAAAATAGGTTAGTTTTTGGTTGTGGATTTGTCTTGTGAGCAAATATTGGGTGGCAAGAGAATCCTGCTGTTTTGTTGGTAAAATGAAGTTTTGCTTTATTGGAGTTATTCAGTGAGATATTAATACAATGATTTAGTTTAGAGACAACCCAGAAGAGGAATTTAGGCATTTTACCCAGATATACGATGGAAAAAAAAAATGAAATTGCTAGATTTTAGTGAAAGGGTTCACTTTTCTATTAAAATTACACTAGCCTCTATGAAGCCCGAACAATGTACTTTGTTAATTTTTTTTTATTATTTTTTTTTATGGATCTGGTAAGCAAGCTGTGCTCTCTGGCTTGATGGAAATTTTCGTTGTTAAACATCAAAATTTTGTTTCAGCGACATGTTTATTATGTACTGTCACTGGTTTGAATTATAAACACCAGTTAATAATAACTTAGTTTAATTTTGTACCTTGTACTTAGAACTAAATTATTTCAGCGAACACATTTATTTTGTACTTTCTCTGGTCCAAATTATAAAACATCAGTTAATAATAACTTAGTTTAAATTTGTGCCTTATAATTATCAAACTTTCTCTGATTCGAATTATAGAACATCAATTAATAACAATTTAGTTCAAATTTGTGCCTTATAAGTATTTGACCAGAGAGAATATCAGTTTGGTGTTATGTTACTGTTACATGAAATAAACCATTTGCGTAATCATATCATACATACATATATATATATATATATATTTTTGAAGTTTATGTCTTCTCAATGCTCTCACATATTACTAACTTTGGTCATCCCCACTTAAAACGTTGTCTTCCGATGGGCGGTGGCGGCGAATGCTGTGCCGACTAGAAGCCATAAGGAAAAAGAAACAAAAGCAAAAACCTCCTACTCTGCCTTTTTATTTCTTTTGTTGGAATCCCTAGTCTTCTACCTACAAGTTGTTGGCGATCTTTTTGTCAATTTGACGTGCCTTCCCAGCCCAATTTCATCTTTCGTGCTTGCATGGTATCTCGATACCTTTTAGACACAATATTAAATATGAAAGAATGTGTATTTCGGTTTCAGTTCTCAAAATAAAAGTTTTGTTTGTTGTCGAGTAAGTATTAATGTAAAATTTTTATATCTTAGAATACAATTTTTTTTCTTAAACGTAAATAAAAACATTTATTTCCAACCATAGGATGCGAACTAGTCTCAACTCTCTTAACTTTTAGAAGTTTGACCCTTGGTATATGCAATCCAATGGGGCCAAAGAGATCTCTTGGGTTATCATCTGCAGTTATGGAAGTCCATTTCAACCTTCTCTATGGTTGGATAACTATTAACTTGTCTAATCATTTGTTGACTGTGCCCTTCAATTCTTTTAGCTTACTTTTTATTATGAATTGGGTTGGTTTCTTGAGTTTGGTTACCAATCACCATCATTTTCTTCTTATACTTCACAAACAAAAACAAGGCTCACTTCCATTACTAACACAACTTTATTCTCTTCCTTCCATTTTCTGGCTGTCAAATACATATCGAATTCTATAACCAATGTCAAAAAAAAACTACTCCTTCCGTCATATAATTATTGTCCAGTTTGAATTTTCATTTACAGTTCAAATTATACTAAAAATGAAATTTCAAACTGAATAATAATTTTGGGACAGATGGAGTACTATTCACTTAATGAGCTGAACAAAATTGATGGAGGCATTGTTTTAAGCGTTGCCCATTCTCTAAACCCTTGAAGTCAGGCTTCGGTTCTTACTTGGTGACGCCTTTCACTTCTGAATAAACAAACTGGTTAAACAAATAGTCAGGCGAAATTCATTTTGCCCCGCCCAAAAGACCCATGTAACATGATAAGTTGGGAAATTAAAATAATACTCCCTCCGTTCTATAATTATTGTCCGGTTTGAGTTCTCATTTCTAGTACAAATTGTACTACAAGTGAAATCTCAAAACAATAATTTTGGGAAAGGGGAGTACTAGAAGTTATTTTCTTTAACCCACGAGAGCTGGAAAATGAAACAGAATCTTATTATACAGAATAATGGTAAACACATGTATGAATACTTAAAAAGGAGGGAAAGAAAAAAATTCCATGCATGACAACCTGCTGGCTGCTGCTTGTCTGACTTTTTTCTATTATACTTTTCTGCATCTTCTTTCTTTTTTTTTTCATTCAAAATTTTCTGCATCTTTTTAGCTAATCAACATGCAAAAATTTCTCAAGAGTTGTCACGTCCAATTAATACAACACCAAAGCCAAGATTACTTTAATTGGCACATCATCAGAAACAGCAAAATGAACAAATGAAATTTAAGGAAGATGATGAACACAGAGGACTTACGTACGTATTATACCATCATCCATATGGTAAACGAGTTTCTCATCAGAATAACACCAAATGCCTCACACACACACACACACACACACACACCCCCACACATCTCCCAGCCATATAAAACATAGCTGGATTTTTGGGAAGTATGTGAATAGTGAAATACCCAGACAGATAGGCGTAATGCATGAAGTGTTTCCAAGAACCAAAAGGTAGCATTTATTGATCAAATTTGTCCACAGAAACTACACAGGCTCACGTATGAACTTTTCACCCTTATCTAGTACTGTTTTTCACCATCTTTTCTAACCCTTTTTTGGTGTTTTTTTTTGTAGACGAGCTGTGGAGAAGAAAATGAGCAAAGATAGCAGCAATTTGATTGGACTTTGTTGCTTAATGGGATTATTAACAGCAAAAGTGACAATGGAAAACCAAAACCAGAAGACAAGCTAAAGCTAGCTAGCATGACCAATGAAAGCAACCAAATTGATGATGAATGTGAACCAAAAACATAAAGAACTGAAAGTGGGAACAAACTAAAACCATTAAAACAATTCCCTTCAAAAAAACAACCCCACCTTTTGGTTGGGTGCAAAATCAGCTTCATTCACACAAACAAGAACTAATTTAATTCTTCAAATCAATCACCTTTCTTGACTCCCATTTCACCCCAATTAAAGAAATTACGGAAGATTTAAAAATAAAAAATTGGAAAATTAAAGAGCTAAGGAGCTAAGGAAGTGAACCCAAATAATTTTGATTTTATCTTAGCTGCTCTTCCTTGGTTTACTTTTTCTCCTAGCTCTGCTCCTAGTTGCAACTTGACTCATTGAAGTTGATGATTTTGTTGTTGTAGCTTCTTCTTGCTCCTCTGCTTTGGAAGACTGCCCTTTTTGTTCTTCTTCTTCTTCTTCTTGTTCTTCAGTGCTTATTTTCACTTTCTGTGATAGGCTTCCTTCAGTCCCACCATCATCATGGCTTTCTTCTTGTGCTGATGATGTTTCAGTTTTCTCCACTACTATTTTCCTGGGTCTACCTCTTTTCCTAGGAGTCAAAGGCTGTTGTTGTTGTTGCAGCTGTTGCTGTGGCTGGCCTTCTGCATCAAGGGATGATGATTCTGCCATGGCTACTGATAATTCCTTTGTTTTCTTCACCACTTTCTTTTTACCCATCAATCAATATATGTCTGTGTATATAATCTTCAATTTGATTACCTTCCCAAAGAACAAATTTTTATGACCCCAGAAACAATATCCACCAACAACACAAAACACCAACTATAAAAATCTTATCATGGGTCTACTTGTATGCTTTAAAAAAACCTCAACCAATCAACCATCTGACAGAGTCTTTTATGAACAACCCACTGAAAAAAAAAACACACAAAGAAACAATCTTTCATATACATAAGAGACTTTAAGAAGCAAAAGCTTGTTGAAAAGCTTTAAATTGATTTTAAAAAAAAATTGAACCAACCTTTTTATTTTCTCCTTTCCAACAAGCTAGCTTCGAATCATTTCTTCATCAACAGATTATCATCATGCAGTGCTTATTTTATCTTATACATATAAGCATAATAATATAATATCTACTCACAGAAGTTATTATTAGTAAAGCTAACGGCTATAAATATGCATATATGGTGAAGAAGCAATTGGATAGAGTTCATATAGAGTGGCTTTTTTTTTAGGTCTTTGGCCGGGGGAAAAAGACGGGGTTGGGAGTGAGAGTGAGAACTGTGGAAGGGAGAAATGAGGTTGAAAAAAACTGATGGAGAAAGGGAAGGAAGGGGAGAGGGGGGCTGGCTGGCTATTGGCTGAGGCTTAAGGCTATCGGTCTTGTCTGCTTAACCATGGTTAAAAGTTGATTGATGTACACAGACCAAACTTTGACAAATGAATATTTACATTAAGTTTATCTTTTTCTTCTTTTATTTTATCCACACATGATAATATATTTTGTTGGTTTTTAGTGTTTTCAACGGTTGTATATAAATTCTCGTGAGATTTGGTCCAACACTTCTAACCTTCTAAAAATTCAGCTAAAACCCCTAATAGGGAAAAAAAAAGAAAAAGAGAATGAAATCCTGCATAATATGAGAGTAATGCCTAGATTAGCCATGCTTTTTGGAGATGAGGTTAGACCTCTTGGTTAGAGTAATGATAGGAATGAACATTACAATCTGATCGAAATGATTATTAGGTTATTGATAGTTGAACCATTTCTCGATCTGTTTGTGTCATCCTTGAGCAGGGACCATGCTAATCTTCCAATTTTATCGGATGTCTCCGCAAAGACTAGATTATTTATGGTTGATTAATGGTTGAACAATGTTGGACTTGTAAAGAGATGCATACATTAAATCCTTTAATTAGTCGAAGAGCTGTTGAGAAAACATTGAAATAATTTTTATGCTTTGAATAAATTCGTAAGCTATAATAAACTATAAAATTTAGGGGGAGCATAAAGTAGATTGTGTTTTGGGTAATAATTTTTTAGTGTGACTTTTTGGCAAAATGCGAAAATGGGGATATTGGGTTGGGGTGGGGGGGTTGGTCGGGGTCGGGGTCGGGTCGTTTGGGTTAAGGGAGTGACTAGTGAGTGAGTATTTTTGAAAGGGCGGTGTCCTGTCTATACTAACACCTTAGTGGGGTAAAGGTACATATAAGAAGGGGGAAGTGGGGTAAGGTCCTTTGTATGTATGACACTTTCCAGTGTCTCAGTCTGACCCAATTGTGTCTGCTTTCGGGTATTTACGTTTATTTGATGGTCCTTTTTCAACATTTCACAGAATTTTGGGGTCAGCTCATATTTGCCCCTTTTTTTGCCATCCAATTCCGATAACCCTCAATATTACTGGTGTCAACATCTGTTAAAAATAAAATTGAGGATACAAATTACTCATATCAAATGATGTTTCATCTTGACTGATCCATGGATAATCATTCACCAAGTGATCCCGAACCAAATTCGACATTTTGACATTTATATAAGGTAAACTCATTTTTGACATTTTGTGAATTTTCCAAAACCTTTTTGCTTCGAATTATATAATTGATGGGAGGATGATGAACAGTGGCGGAGTCAGGAAATTAATATTGGGGGTGTGAAATTTAGACAGAACTACTAATGATATTAGGGTATCAATGTAGGAGATGCGAAAAATTATTCAATACATAATTTTTATTGAAAATTTAATATATCCCTCCCTACTAATGACAAAAGATTAAGCAGGTGCGACCGCACCCCTCCGTCCCCTAGCTCCGCCACTGACAATGAAGGCTCCATTTAAAGTAATTTTAGTGGAAAATCAAGTTCCATTAACATTTTTTTAACCCAAATTCCATTATCTTTAACTACAATAGGAATGGAAGGTCTAAATCAATATACTTGAAAACTTGTTTGATTCTTTTCTTGCTGTAGTCAAAACTCAAAAGGCCATAGGGCTAAAAAAAACTAGGCTAATACTTGCTGGGATCAAACAATTCTATTATTGTGATTAAACCTGAAAAAACAAAAATCGCAAACCGATTAGTCAACCGTATATTACCCTCTTTAGTGCGCATAATATCACATAATTAGTGACCTATATATACTCCGCTTTCATGATTCTTCTTAATGGTACAAATTATGCATTCTTATACACTTGTTGCCTATGCACATTGGTAACTATCAAAAACTCACTCACATTCTTTGATTAAAAAAGTACTCGCTTGTACTTTCTCGTCACGAAATTATTATTCAATTTGAATTTTTTAATTTTTCGTACAAATTATACTAAAAGTAAAATCTCAAACTAAATAATAATTTTTGAACGGAGAAAATATGTTTTAATCTATATCTCAAACTGCAACTTTGAATTGTTAAAGGAGGACCCAAATATAAATTAACGCAAAAATAATGTATTCATTACTCTGCGGGTCATTACATTACTCATCAAATAAACCTTTGCATTTTCCAACGGGGCATGAAGAAGCCAGGTAGATTTAAGGGTGTACCATGTTAATTTAAACCCACCATAATAAACTCATAAAGTACGAGAGAACCCAACTCTGATCTGTCCTATGTAACTCTGGTTAGTTGGGAACTCACATTGACTCCTTTGACTAGCTCCAGTGGAGTCTACAGTACCCGCTTTTTTTTTCCATCTTCAATATAAGCCAATTTGCACTTTTTCTTTTTTAATTATCCAAAACCATTTAAAAATACGGTAAAGCAGTACGAGTAAATTTCCTTTTCCTATATTTTTATCCTTTTAGAAGACAAAAGGAATAGTACAGTTATATGTAACACATCGCTCACGTTAATAACCAACTCAATCGCTCATCTGGCTTTGTATTATGTGACCTCTTTTTTTTTCTTCTTTTTTTTTTTAAAAAAAAAACTTTGTATTCAAATGATGATATGCAATAATTTGTTAATATTGACAGACAGGTCATTTATACAATTTCCTCAAATTATAATATTCACACGGATTCTTAGCAATTTTCTACGAGAAAAGCGAAAAGTTTTTGTATTTTATTATCACTATTCAAATACTATGCAATTTTGTGCATGGATCTGCATCTACTACTAATGAAGTGAATCACGTTTGATCAGAATCCGGCTACCCAAACACCGATTGGCAGTGGTTCGATAGCAGTGGGATGTTGGTCCGATAGTAGTAATTTAAAAATAATTCTAAACAATCGCCACCTTAATAAAAAGATAAAGTGTAAATATGTACAATTTATAAGTCTTTCTATCTAACTGTTAATACTATTAAAATAAGTGCTACCAAAAAATAAGTGGATTCGGGATCCACCGTATATGTTTTTGAATACTATATTTAAGTCATTAGTGTTTGAACTAATTAAAATTCACTTCTTTCTTTTGGTGAAAGTTTCACTTATAAAGAAAAGAAAAAAATCTAATTCAACTTAGGATATGAACCATTTTCGGGTGGCACCATCGAGATTCAGTGGTCGACTTTCAGGTAGGGAGAAAGGTGTGGACGATTTAGGAGTTCAAGTATTGACAAATATTGAAGCCATCTATATTCTCAATAACTAAGAATTAAAACCTATCATGATCTTACCTTAGAAAAAAAAAAACCTATCACGAAATGATTTTTACTCTGCTAATTATTATTTTTTGAATGAATATGATGGTAAGAAGGGCGATTTTGGACTGGGAAATATAGCTTAATGAATACATTAAAATGTCACTAAATTAATAATTTAAAAATTAATAACTTTGAGCAATTAATAATTTTATCCCGTCTTAACTTGGAATTATACAAAAGTGAACAAAATTGATAAAATAATAAAATAATAACATTTTAGAACATTCCCGACATATATGTTGGTCCCAACAATACTAAAAATTAATACTTACCCTAAATAAAAATAATAATAATATCAACTATAAATATTTAGTAAAATATAAACTATTGATACTTTTTTTGTTAAGTCCCCGACGATGATATGAACTATGTATGAATTTAAGTATCGAGAAAAGTTTAAACTTGCTTGATTCAGATGGTAAAAATAATTGAAATTTAGTAATTTAGCAAGGATTTTTTTTATTTAAAGAAAATAGTTTATTAATTTATATATTATTTATTAATTATCCAAATTAGTAAATTTCGGTTGTCCTGTATAATTTTTTTGTTTCACTATTTCCTATTTTGTTGACAAGACCAATCTCATCCTCCTTCCACATTTTCTCATCTACCTTGTTATACAAATTTGGTCCATAAAGAGGACCAATGAAGGCCCGTTTGGACCACTGCGAATAGCAGGCTAAGCCCTCTCTATTTGGATTTATGAAAATTACATAATGGGCTGTAAGTGAAGCCCTTTTAATACTCTTCCATGTTTTTTTTTTCTTGTCCCTAATCCCTATGATTAAGAAGAACATTAGAATTCAGACCATGTGTTGGATGTCTTAACATATAATTCAGCTAAAAACATCACTTTCAATCTTTCATCAATCCAACCTCGTAAATGTAAAATCTTAATCGGATAAGAAGGCTATCATCCCAAATTAACACGATCCCAAATTCAATCAATCTTCCCTGCCTCCATGTCTCCATCAACCTTCCTCCTTACCTGTAAATACTTGCTAATAAATCTTAGCTTTATATAGGAAGAAACAGTATGAGAAAAGGACAAACCTCCATGTGTAATGTTTAATTGTAGAATATCCAATTTTGTGATAATCCAAATACAAAATTTGCACCAATTAGAAAAAAAGAAGATCTTTTTATTTCCCCCACCTCTGGATTTTTCCAATAAAAAGTCAAGGGCCACCTATAAATATGTCCTACATGGACTCAGAGCGGAGTTTGGATTGCTGTTTGTCTGGCGTTTCTGGAGCTAAATTAACATACTTGTCACTGTACTAAATTTAGGCCACGAAAACGGGTTGAGGAGGAAATCAAAAGGTTGGAACCTGGGAGTGTTGAAAGTGATCCGAGGGACCTTGTAAAAGGATAAAGCTCTGTTTTTTATTGGATGCCCTTTCAATATTGGAGTTTATAAAAGAAGGGTCCAAACGGGTGATTTGTGGATGCAATAATTTCTTGGTAAGTTTATAGTTTCCTAATGTTTTGCATGCACAAGTTTGTCATTGGGTTGTTTTTGTCTGGTTTCTGATTATTAATCGAATTTTTTTCTTCTTCCTATTTTTCGAATTTGGGTGGTGGGATATTGATTGGCTAGTTGTGTGACGCTTGTATTTGATGAGGTGCCGGCCAAATCTGTTGGCTTCTTTTGGATATTTGATTTTGGGATTTTTCATTCCATAGTTATCCCTAGTTTCTTTCAACAGAGGCCGGAAAGCTTCAATTCAGAAACTGAATTTGACTTGTATGCTGTTTGAAGAACCCGAAACGAAATAAAATTGTTTTGCCTTTGCTTTTATCAAATCCATGGTGGGTTTATTATGGCTTGTTATCTGTATTATCTGGATGTTTTTTCAGCTTGCCAGGCACCTAATTGTAAAGATTGTGGATGCCGGCTGTTTTTTTGATTCCGTTGATTGAATGTCTGGGTCCTCTGGGATGAGTGTGAAAGTTTGGTCCTCTTTGAGGCTTTTTGGTTTGCTCCTTTCTGTTCATTTTTAGGTTTTTTTTTTTTTTTTTCCCTGGTAATAGATGCTCTGATCGTTGGTTGAGGGGTTTGATTTTGATCTTTCTTGATAGAAGATTTTTGACTAGAAAGAGTAGGAAATGCAATTACATTTTAGCCCCTTTTTAGTTACTAATGGTTTCTGATTATTTCTTCCATCTTCCTCATATCAAGGATTCTGTTCCTAAAATCAGGATTTTTACTGTTTGACAATTTTCGGTTACTTTCTCTATTTTCCTGGTCTCTGGTGAATCTCTTTCATTTAGGAAATGCAGGAAATATTTTGGAAGCATAACCAGTAACTGCAGATAGTTTTATCATTGCAAAAGAATTTTATGAAAACAATTTGGTTTCAATACTCTAAATCAAATGCTTTTGTCCTTCTAACGCAGGGTGTCCCGGCTTATGCTTTGCATTCCTGGGAATCTTCTATCGATGTTGAATCATCCAGCTTCTAAGGATTTTGGCGAGGACTGAACTCCTTCCTTGAAGATGGGCAGCTCTCACGAATCCTTAAGCAATGGTAAACCAGCTGATCCAGGACTTCAGATTATTCGTCATCCCGCGTACCAATCTTACAGCAAATTGTCTTGGTTTGATATAAGGGTGTTTTATGTCCGAATCAGCAATTTCAAGGTTGACGATTCAACTCCACAATGTCTATCTCTCAACCATATCCCTCTGAGTCCTGACACTCTCCTTGAAGTGAACGGCGCGAGGTGTTCCATTTACTCTGATGGAGCATCATGTCTTCTTCGAAGGGATAGAGTGGATAAGAAATCCGAGGAGGTCACGTTTGTGAGCACCCATAGTGTAAGGTTGACAGGCAGTGTAAAATTCGAGGTGTTCCATAAAGGAGATCTTTTGCTTTCTGGGGTTTTAGAGATGTCATGTAGCAATGGTTACACAGGGGAGTCAAAAGGGAATACCAGGAAATGGAGCATGAATTGTGAAACAGTGATGAGTACCAGTGCAGGATTCTTGAAGGGCAAGCAAATTATGGGTTCTGAGTCATTGTCACCAACCATCGAAGTTTATGTTACAGGTTGCTTCTTGGGGGAACCAGTTATCTTAACAAAGACACTGCAACTTAATTGTCACAAGAAGCACCATAGGAAGGGAATGCTTGATTCAATACCAGAGTATGATACATCTGAATCGCAAAAGGATAATCCCCGACTCGATATGCAGGTATTTTTCCACAAATCTTCTTAAATTAGAGGTATCTTTGCTACACTATAAATGTTGATTGCGGAAGGATCATGTATCTTCACCCAATTTCTCCAGGCTGAATAATGCAAAAAGCAAACTTATGAGTGTTGTTTTAGTTGAAAATGTATTTGCTTACATAGAGATGACTATAAATATGGATCTTTAGGAGTGTTTGCCCTGAATTAGAGGCCTTTGGGTTTTGATAATGTAAATAAACGTGTTTTATTACTTACATAAACGTGTGGGACTATTTAGCATCACTCTTAGCCCTGTGGAGTTAATGATACACAGTATCACATACCATGGCCATGAGAAACCCTGTTAGTCATCTTATCCTTTTGTTGGGCTCTCTCCATGCTTCCTCCCATGAAACATGTTTCTTGCTTTCAAAAAGCATGTTTCTTTTAGGTGGTGGACTACAAAGTATAGACTAATCCAAGAAGTTCTTATCCTAGGCATGTCATGAGGGTATGGGCAGGCACATTTTTCCAAAAGAATACTCATCTTTTATTCCCCTTGGTTATCCATAGTCCCTGCAAGAGTCTGACTTGTCAGGACCCATCACCCTCAACAACCATCAAGTTCAGATTTGTGATTTTAATTTTGGGGCCCACTGCATTTGCTCTTTGTTTGCTGATGGTCAATGAGCTTATTTTGTTTTGTCTGTAAGGTTACATATGTTACTGAAGCTGCCTTGACTGCATCTTGCTGTGTTACGTTTCTTGATTTACATTTTAAGTTTCATCCGACAATTTTATTATGATAGCATTTGGTGAATTCAGCTCTAAAATGATGATAATTTTAATGATCATCGGGCTATAGGCTTCCTGGGTTGGGCAAATCATTTCATCATTTTTATATTTGTTGTAAAACGAGGGCAGTAAAATGAAGATCTTCATTGTAGTTTCCTGTCAGATTGACCATTATAGTTGCTTAGAATTATAATTATACTGTATACAACATCCGCAATCCATCTATGCATTAATGCTGTGGTTTTTTTTATCCGTGCCAGTACACTTTGTAGGATCCTGATGCAATAGATAATTGAATAAGTAGAGCAATCTTTATAGTTTTGAAACTGTTTTTTTCCTGGTTCAGTTTTAACCCCTGCAAGAGGAACATGTTGAAATTTTTTACTGGATTTACCATGATCTCCTCTTGAAACAGAACCATGAATACTTGGCTTGAAGTTGTTGGGACAAGAACATAAATGTGAACGATAGTAGTGTTTGTTCTTCTCAACAATGATATTTAGTAACTATGGACCTGCTCAGACCGATGTGATACCTCATTACTTGCAGTTTGTCTAATTTTACTACTAATATCCAAGGGGGGAAAAAAGAAAGCGCGCCAAAATTTATACCTGAGAAAGCCCATGGCTATTCTGCCTAATGAATGTCCTATTACCACCATTCAAGTCTTCATTTTTACAGAGTTCATAAATGTGTCTTCTTTGCTTATCAAGTTTAATGCAGTCCAAGCACTCATTTCGTAATGCTTGCTTTTACTTCATCATGCAGGTTACAGAATACATAAGCTACAAACCTGAAAGTGAGGAAGACTACGATAATATGTACTGGAGACAAACGGAATACATAGAAGGCGAAGATGGGGAATTATCCTGGTTCAATGCTGGTGTAAGGGTGGGAGTCGGAATTGGCCTTGGTATTTGTCTCGGTGTTGGTATAGGAGTCGGTTTGCTCGTTCGAACTTACCAAGCCACCACTGGAAACTTCAGAAGACGGCTTATGTAGTTTCTTTTGTGTTGTCTTCTTCTAGTTTCCCTAAAGTTAAATGACACCACCTGTCATGCCACAACTTGCTTGCGCGTGCTAGTTATGTTAATAATGGTTTGCCTTCAAGGATTGTCTTAACCAATTTTGTCCTATAATTTTCGCCTACAAGCTACAGTTTCTTCCTGTTAATTTTCATAGCACATAGTTCATTATTGTTGGAGAGTCTTGAGTGAGAAGAACTACATAGACAAGAAAACTTAGATCTAGACTATCAATTTTGTATATACTGGTATTTCTATGATTTGTGTATTGATACATATGCACAGCTTTTCTGTACCTTTTTTTTTTGGTTGAATTTCCTTGTTAGTTTTTGGCAATTTGTACATTGTGCAAGGATCTACAGTTGCGTTATTGATATATGCAAATCCAAGGTGCCTTACTTCGAAATCAAAATACAGGTAAGATGGACTTTCAGCACATTTTTGAGGCAGCACTCTGTAAAGCAACTTGATAACTACCTCCTCCGATCCTCTGGAAAACAACTTGAATGGTGGTGGTGGTGGTGCGCGGGGGAGGGGGCTGGGGGAGAGGGGGACAAAAGATGAAACAGTGACAAGGGCAATTCCCACCGAATCCATTCAACAATCTGCAAATAACATATCAGCTGCAATGGAGGCGTACATTGTTGTACACAACAGTAAAATACTACTTGAGACCATTCTAACTCTTTGCAGTGCACCTCCATTTTGTAAAAATAACATACTATATATTGTGTTAGGCCATAGTATCGTACACACAGCACTTCAGTTTCTGAAGAAACTCTTGTGAAGAAAATTGTGCAACCTCAGGCACCTCAATACTCTTCTACTAGTAAGTAGTAAAAACAAGGATGGCACTAGTATAACCAACCCTAACCATACTGTAAGTCCAAGTTACATAAAGGCCTAAGATTCATATCTCCTACTACAACATATTCCAGTTTAGCTTTAGCATAAGCATAATACCAAAGTGTGTCTTTGTTCGTCCCGATATAGGCATTTATGTAAGGCCAAAGTATTTATTGATATCCAGGAGTTTCTGAATCCCACCATCAGTCCTGGAACCTGTCAAGGACAACCATATTATGTCATGCTGCCGTTTAGATCTATGACAGGGAAATCAGCTCGCTGGTGAAGCCAGGGACTCTGGCTCAGGGGCAACTTCGGCCCCCAAATACCCATTTGAGAGCTTGTTGTCAAAACCCCATTTTTTCGCAGCTTTCACATCATCCTGAGCCATTTGTCTAGAGAACTCCTCATGATCATATTGCAATGTTGCCTCTCCACCAAACTCTTTTGGAAGATTATCCACGTCAAAATATGACCTCATGAGCTCCACACTGTCCTTGTTCTTTGGATACACAAATTTCACCTTCTGAAATGTCTTAGGATCCAAAAAGTATTTAACAACCTGCAAAAGTAATTGCAAATAAATTAAGTGATGAACTGAAGAAAAAGAACTTCTAAGTTCACTATCCAAAATTCAATTGATTTCGCAAGTGTAGGTTAATGAATATCTTAGTAACCCCTAACGAAATTAAATTTGCAAAAAAAGACTAGTGGCAATCAGTTTTATCACTTTGATTAGCCCATTTAGAGTTTAGAGTATGAATGTAGTAGAAACTTTAATGTTGTTTGCCAGAAGAGAACACACTCTAATGACAACTATAAATCTATAATGTTTGGTTTAATTAAAGCAATGAAGGCTTATGAAATTTGAAAATCTATGGAGACATTGGTAGACTATTTACTCAGCAGCGGGAGAACACTATCTAGATAAGTAGAAAGCTGACCTTCCAGAATGCTTCAAAAATACGCGGAGGGTTGTAGAGAAATGCTACAGCTAGTCTCTCGGGATAATGGTTTTGTAGTATATGAACAGTATCTCGGGCAGATTTCATTGGCACGTTGTTGGTTATTGACCAACCAGAGAAGTCTATCAACCATGCCATCTGTTCTTGATCTTCAGGAAGATTCAGAATGGCATTCTCAATGAGATACACCAAATGCTTAATTTGGTTGTCCATTGATGTTGTGTTCTGTAAAAATGTGTCAGATTGCTCAGTATTTTCAAGGATGGGAGTAACGATCCCATAGTAATAATTAATTGCAAAATGATGGGTTCATGTTTTTGTGATTGGAGACTTCACCTGCTTTCCAGGTCTCAATATAAGAACAGTCCTCCCATGGCGATCATGAAAGTTTGCTCGGTACACCTTCCCCGTCTCACCCTCCTCGGCAACTTCATGCTAACAAGTTTAAGAGATATTACCAGGTGAATTTCAGATTCAAGAGAATTCACAGACAATTCCATCTAAACTTTGCAAACCAAATGAATACGAATATCTGTATCAAAGGCATCTGTTTTCCCTTTGATAGATTGCTATCATGATTAATTTTCCAACCATAAAGAAATGAGGACTTGTCTTTAAACATGACGATTAAGAACAAAAAACTTCTATTACCCAGCGAATTTCTTCTGGCTTGTAGGTTGACCTCCACCTAAGTGTGTCCTCTAGCATCTTTTTCGATTTGTCCACATTCCAGTTCCGGGCTTCCAAATACCTCTTGAAGCAAGCATCAGAGCAATACAGCGAGGCACGTCCTGATAAAGGACCCAGAGCATCCTTAAGTTCATTAACCTGTAAACAAGAAGTTGAGTTCAAAGCAAAGCCCATATCGATGAAATTTGCGACATAGGATAACAAAGTAACCATTCTCGGTGCCAAAAGACACAGGAACAAAAGATATATTGGCAGTTAAGAACCCCACTACATCTATTAAAAGAAAATGTTTGCCCCAGATAATAAGTGACACCAAATAAAAGCCTACTCAAAGTGATCATGACAAGAGCATCTTCAAGTTTACCACTTCTCAATACCTTTTGCTGTTGCTGCTCAGTAGAGTCCTGCTCGTGATGAGAGTTGCTCCTCCGACGAAACATTGCTAGAAAACCAGTATGGCTTTATGTAAGATTATTATGTTTCAAACATACCAACATGAGTCGCAAGGTCAAAATGCAACCAGGAAAATAATGCCACATAAAAAATGATGTAATCCAGGCAGACTGATATGCGAAAAGGTAAGCATGAGAAAGCCTCATTACATATATTAAGAACAATATCGAGTTACATGATTCGTTGTTTAAGCCAACAGGAAACATGCATTTGACATTCTTCAACAAAAAGAATGGAGAGGAAATAAAATAATCATTTATAGCAAGGAGAACATGGTAGCAAAAGACAAATTTAGATAACATTTCCTGAATCATCATTCTTTCTCAAGCATTAACACCCTAAAAATAATGTACTTTAGATAGATTATGCTGACCTACCAAATAACTTGTACAAAGTGAAATGGACAGATCTCACTCTACAATTAATCTTACAAAATTATACGATTCTTATACAAGTTCAACCTGCTGCCCCCTATTTCACTGAACAAGTCAGTATGACATATGTAAGTTTCACTCCCCGCATGTAGGTGGTCACAAGGACCCGAATAAAAGCTGATAAAACTGGTTGAACATGCACCAACATTCAACAGTTCAAAAGAAACACAATTTCACAGAAGTACACCCATCATTTATACATTGAAAGTGCACCAAAATTTGTTTGACTAAAATTCTTGCGCAGAACCAGATACAATAAAGCATTATCAAATTCCACACGCAATGAATGCAGAGAGTGAACCAACAGACACAATATAAAGTAAGATCAAATTCCACAAGTAAATCCGACAATCACACATTAGTGGTCCAGGCCAAGCTTTTATGATGCAATTCTTTTAACCTCCTCCACTCATCAAGAGTATGTTTTTGTTGACAATTGTGCAAAACAAGGTCATTAACTTTTCTCTTCAGACATCAAATAACACCCTCCCCCCAAACCCCAAAACAAATTTTAGAAATTCCAAAAAAGAGTCTGAAGAAGTGAAGCTCTAAAACCAAAATTTATATCAGGGCCAAGCAGTTTCATCTTACATGGCAGAAAGGGCGTATGAAGAAATCCAAGGGTAAATAAAAGGCTTAATCTATAGGCAGTCAAGTATAATGGCAGTGGGACTATCTTTGTTCTCCCTTTGCCAAAATGATTAAAAAAAATTTTTTTTAAAAAAAAGACATCTTTCGTTAACCAAAATGAGAACTCTTTCATGATTCATTACTCGTTAAACATCAAATCCACATCCAAAAATTAAAATTGGTTTCATTACAGCATCTCCCTTCTGGAAAAAAAGCCCAAACCTTTTCTTTTCCTCTCTTCTTAAACATGAACAAAGCCTCAAAACAAATCGAACCCTCAAATAAAAGCAAAATCAATACCGAATCATGCCCAAGAATCCACAAATTCAATTAGTAAACTGCACCAAAGGGAACTTTCAAAAAACAAAACCAACAACCCAGAAGATCCCACATCAGGAATCAAACTGTAAATCCAAAAACACGCATACAACACAAAATGAAATATTTTGTTAGCCACTGATCATACCTGGATTGAGCAGGCGGTGAGAAGGTGAGAAATGGAGAATGGAGTTTTAATTATGGTTCCTCCACAAGGGAGTAGTCACGCATAAATCTTTCACTAATTGTAATCAGTTAGCTCATGCGAATCAGCCAAAGAAAATTCTCACGCAGTCACGCACAAGCGGTGGGAGCTGTGTCTGACTCGCATTCCACTATTTATTTAATGTGTTCACTCACTGGAGAGTTTTCCACACAGTATAAGTGATTAAAGAGAGATGCAGATATTTTGGCCAAGACTTTTCCTTATTTGTAACGAATTTTGCAGCTTGCTGCCATCGAATCGGACGATGGGGATCAACTCGGCTTAGGAATCTTCCATTCTCATGCGTTGATTATTTTTTTTATTAATAAGGTGATTTATGAATTATTACGTGCAGCCACGATCAGATCAGAGGGATCTGAATAAAATTATTACTTCATCAAAACCTGCCCCCGGACCCCCGGGAGGTCCATCTGGATTGCCACGTAGCATATGACCTCATTATGTTTTGCCCAACAGGGGCAACACCCCCTTCTGGCCTTCTGCAATATTAGATATGCTATTTTTGACATCAAGACTCCTTCTTCCGGAGTTATTTTATGCTTCCTCTGTATGTTAAAAAAAAATTTCTTATGTATTTTTGTTTGCTTTTTGTTAGGTTTGGTTTTCTCTGAAGATAATATGAAATGATGTATTAGCTATAAAATGAAATTTTATAAATTTGGTATCTAAATCAAGAAGCTTAAAAACAAACACACAAAGAAAAAAAAAAAAAAAAAAGGAAAACGGATTGATACGATTAGCAGGATGAGTAATTCATATCGTTTATTTTATTTAGTCACAAATAATTATCATGTTTGTTGTATAAAAGAAAATATACTCCTACAATAATTATTATAAAATATATACTTGGCTCATTTTTATACTTTTTATGTATGGTATAATGTAATTAATTGCTTTTGTAATTTTTTTTTTAAAAAACAAATTACTATTTTACAAATGTTGCGCTTCTCTCTAGGGCAGCTAGTAAAATTTATCCTTGTATAAGAAGACCCACGCAATATTTCGCATTTGTAGTTTGCTATCATTTTGCATTATGTTCAATCAAGGTTTCAATTTGGTGCGTTATCTCGGCAGCCCTGTCGCAAACAAAAATGTGACTTTGATTGGAGACAAGGTTCATGGAGGATAAATACAGGAAACTTCAAAGGGGTCCGGTCTTTTGGTGCTACGTAAATGTCTGAATATGGGATTATTTGATTAAGAGGAAGAAACCAATTCAAGAATCTGTTCATAGAGATTGCTCAGTTCAATATCCAAACGAGTTCAGACAAATAGTGAGAGCTGGCCATATTGATTATTTGCATCTTAACAATAACAAAATCCCTAATTAGGATAAGCGTTGAAGAAAATCAAAGAAAAACACTTGTGCATTGCCGTCTCATCCGCTTGTGGAAAAAGAAAAAGGAGAAAATGAATTTACAAAGGGTTGATAATTAAGCGATGACTCCATGATTTTCCACTATCACGTAAAGTGGTTGGGTGCTTCTAGAGAAAATGCACCCAATTTCAGCAAAACATATACGTATCAAGTCTCATTACTGGTCAGGAACGTAGATTGAAAAGTACCAGAAAGAATCAAATATCAACCACTAAAGGAATAAAAATCAAACGCTGATCCTTTATGACATATTGTTGAGTGTGCTTATCAATTCCAAAGTCACATTTATGGTTTTCTTTTCTTTCTTTATGCACACGAGGATCTGGCGTGACAACTAATGCTTTTACACCATCAAGGTTTTTGCTGCATTATAAAAAACTCCCAAAACTAATACTCGCTCCTATCCTTATTATAAAGCATTTTGATTTCGTCCTACATTTAATTTAAGATGTCTTTTTAATTAGAAAAAAAATTTTAAAATTTTCACATTCATTCTGTTCTCTTAATTATTACAAAATATTTTTAAGATTTTTATTTTAATTAAAAGAATATTTTAGGTGAAATCTAAAAGGAAATCAAAACACCTTATAATAAGAACCAAAGGGAGTATATACTATAGACAGTCCACTATACCACCCAAAATAATACAAGAAACTAATTTTAAAACAAAAAAAAAGTACAACAATATGTTTGAACGTAACATATGAAAGAGAGATATTTGTGAACCAAATAAGGAGAGAGATTTCAAATTTCAATTCCACACTCCAGAGCATTCATCAAGGCTACACCTTCCGGGCCCAGGAAACATGGGCCTAGAAGCTCTAAGATGCCGCACAAACCTATCGCAAAAAAGCACAAAAAGGATCCAGGTGGGCTCGAACCACCATCCTCTCAAATAGATTGACCCATTTGAGCGCTGTACCAAGTTTGAGCTTATGGATCCATAAAAACGTAAAACCATTGATTGAAGAATGTTCATTTCCAACATCACTCAACTGTCGATACTGCTCAATTTCCTCTTCTAAGAAATGCTTTTCCCTCTCTTTGGTCTTTACGGACAATTATTTCTTTGAGGATATTCATTTCTTCTGCATCATAGGCAGATTTTTCTTCAATCATCCTCTGGCATTCCCATGCTTCCATTTCAACTGATGTCTTCTACTCTAGGAGACGTTGAATCATGGCGATACAACTATATAGGCCAGTGGGCAGGTTAAACTAGAGTAAATGCATCTCAAAGAGCGAGGTGGGGCTTTCAAATACTATCAGGTTGAACTGACTTCCACTAGGCACGCACAAAGTTCACAAAAGCCATTTTCCCTAGAAACAAAAGACACACTTAATTCATTTATTCACAGGAACATATTTGAAGATGCCAAAACCTAATTCATTTATCCTCGAGAACATATTTGAAGAGGCCAAACGTACATTGCAATTAATTCAAAGCTCAAAACATACACAAACTTAAAATCAGTCACTTGACAAAACATAAGGAAAAACTACTAAACACCAAAGGGGCTAGATTGCCAAGTATGTTATACATGCATTAGATGGTAGAAAGGACTGCTTAGAGCTACCAAGATATCTACATGTCTAAATCTACGACTTGCAAGTACATTGACAGAAAAGAAAACTTCCCTGAAATAAGATTAATAATTACTAACAACAACGGACAGAAGGATCGAAAAGGATAACTGCACTGATTATAGTGCAGGTAACACGGCGAAGGGCAGGGGAGCAATGGATCAGCTGCAAAACACATTGATTATCCAGATACCATGTTCAATAATAAACACGAGATCCTCCAAACTTCCAAAATGCAAGGTCTACTGAAATGTTAGAAACATTCAACCAAACAAATTCTGTTGAAATATTTTCGAACTGAAGTGACCAGTGTTCAGCCAGTATCTGGTAGCAGCAGGTAACCGAAATGTCAGTAAAATTTAACCAAAAAAATTCCCTTGAAATATCTTTGAACTGAAAATGACCAGTATACAGCTATAGCAGCAGGTAAGGACGCGTGTTGTAGCATAAAAATCATCACCATGAACTGAAGACACTCATGATATCCTTTTGAGCTCAAAAAGAGAGCAACAAATAGTCCCATTTGAACTTTTACATCAGCAAGATCAGCCGACTTCAGCCGTCCATGGGATGGGTAGCAAAGCATTTCAATACCAACAGCCTCAGATGCCCAGCAGCAAAAAACGATGGAAGCAATACCAAAAGTTGACAGATATGCAATTTCTTCCTTCACGAGTAATGTCTATGTCTAGGTACAAAAGAATACAACTACAGTACAAGAATTACTCTGCCTCTTTCAACCGGCAATTGTCCAGGCCAGTCAAGTGTTACACTTATGGAAAACTACAAAATTATTGCAGATCATGACATACCAATAGGATAGCAAAGACAAAAGCAGTATCAATTGGGCTAGTGCTTGATGTAAATGTTAAATCAATGCACAGTCCATATGCTCACTTCCAATTGGAATATTCATTATGACATGTTTTGAAAAGTAGTATGCACGGAGGTTAAACTTGTAAACACAACATATAATGATTGAGCAATCGAGACTCTTTAAATTGCCTCGACAATTAGTCCAGTTCGTCAATTCAGCTTTACAACATTGGTTAGCATGCATTGGACATTGCTACTGGTTTCCCTTGCGATTCAATTACCAGCAAAGAATGTAAATACAGATATACCCGTTTGAAGTGAAACTTGTCATAAGAGTTTTACAGCATCAACAAAAATTAGTTCATCAGTTTAAATGTGAAATACTTCAATACCAGCCTAATTTAATTGCATTCCACCAAGATCACAGCTGTTGGTGCTTCAAAGGATTTTCAGAATCTACTCTATCAGGTGATAATTTCAACACTTCACCATTAGCATGAGCATAGATTTTCTTGTTATTGGGTTGGTTCATATAAACGATTTGGAAACTAAGAACATCTGTACCTCATGAGGTGTCAACATATTCCTTGCTCGTCTATGACCAGGACTGAAGTCGTGTTGTTCAGGGAGCCCTTGCTCTTCATTGAATGGGCTAAAAAAAACCATATGGGTTAATTGGTTCCCATTCAAGGAAGACAACAAGGCAAGGTAGCAACGGTAGCTCTGCGAGAAATATAAAATAACAGGGACACACACACAGGAGGGGAGAGCCGGGCTTATAAAATTCAATGAAAAAGACCCGTGCCATCTCCCCTCTTCACACCAAAAATAAACTTCTTTTATTGAGATATTTGGCCTGCCATGCGAGCGCACCCAACATGATAAAGGCCAGCTACACATTTGTGCTAACAGAATTTTCCGCACTCATCTTTCCTATCTCATTTTAAGTTAAGTACATAACGAACTAAAACCACAAACCTTTACCATGTCCACCATGAAAACTATGAACAAACAACTCTGATTGCGTGTTCAAACTTTAATTAAACTTTAATTAACCTTTACAGCCATCAGCTTAGGGCTCTTACACCAAAAGAGCCCCCTCGTAACCATATCATATCCCTAGGGAAGCGAAACGGATCCCAAAGAAACAATAGAAAACAGGAATCCTATCCTTCTGCAAGCGATCAAGCAAGAAGAAGCCTCCATGAACTGCATCCGCATAACATACAAAATCAAATTACCACTTTAAACAGCCTAAAACCTAAATCCAGAAAGAGATTATTTGACTGGTAATCCTATATATCTACCAGAGAAAATCGAATCGGTATGAACAAGAACCAAGTGCAGGAATTCTAAATAACTCGCAATCAATAACCAACCAAAAAAAAAAAAAGGAAAAGGAAACAACAATTGAATTCAGACCTTTCCGGATTTGCTCGGCATAGGTTTATGAGAAGTATCATGTCGTTTAATCACACACCGAGCAGTTCCAGCCGAATCCTAGCGATTATGAAGAACGGCGAAATACCCAATCAACGAACATATTCGACTTTCATACTCCACGAAAAGATCGCCGAGCGATCCTTACAACAACTATAAGTTACAACATCACGCCGGGGGAAGCTAGATCTGACCTCCGGTAAGATAGAGCTTCAAGGAGACGTGAAGGAAGAAATCAATCTCTAAATGAATTGAAATCGATCTGAAAGCATTGACGTTTTATATTGGGCAGCGGGCTCAAATCGGACGGCTGTAATTGATCTGAGGTTCTTGGTATATTCTGTATGGGTGGGGATTAAAAAACGCGTCTCAACGTGTTTTTCGCTCCAAACAAAACAAACGATTTTCACATTTCTGTGATTTCAGAATTTGGTATTTTCTTT